AGTCAATTTGCATTAGGAAGTGGAATTTCTGCATTCTTATGCCTCAGAATGCGTGCTGTTTGCCACAGAGATCAATTGGCATGTTTTCCCCCACTTTTGCTTTTTGATATGGGATTCAAATGACAAGCTAGTTCCTCTGAGTATGGGGTCATAAGCATAGTTGGATTAAATTGTTCAATGCATGTACACAGCAGACCAGGCTGCTCCTACTGACTCTTGCTTGAGGCTTTAAGCTTCCTATGGTTATGGAGATGTTCTTTGAAAACTGACTGTGGAAATTAATTCTACCTGCATGTACAATCCCTGTCACCAAAGCCAGGGGCTGGAGTGGAGTGTGGCTTGTTGTAATCTCATTTTCTGTTACGAGTCCCAGCTCAGACTCGTTTCTGTTGTCACTTTTTCCTAAGAATCCCTTTATTTCAACGCCTTGCCTCAACTGAGAGCCTGCTGCTCAGTTCCTCCTGTTCTGTCTGGAGGCTGTAGTCGGTGTATGTTTCTTGTCATGTGTATGTTCTTAGATGGTTTTGTTAACTGCCATAGTCAACCATGCCCATCTCTTACTGTCCTCACAAAAGCAGATCCTTTTGTGTTGTGACGATAATTTAAAATTTTACCCAGATGGGTCTTTGAATATCGAAAAAAGTGTGACTTCTGAAAGAGAAGGAGGTGCGCAGTAGAGCTCTTTGAAATTAGTATGTTCTTACCAGTTTTCTCTGAAAGATGGGATGAGAGAGGCAAAAGAGAGCCAATTAATTTTCTACTGAAGGAGAAGCACATATTTGCTTTTTATTGGGCACTAAGGTATTCAACAATAAGGAGCATTCCTGACAACGTGGTTTATGCAGTTTATTCACTCTAGTCCTTAGTTCTTGTATTGCCTCAATTAAATCTAAGTTATACAGGTCTTCCCCCACTCCCTTTCTCCCTACCCCCATAACCTCTATCAACATTTCCAGAGCAGATTTGCCAGAGAGGAGATGGGAGGCTCAAAAGGCAATATTTGATGAAGTATTTAGATTGGGCAGTCTCCAGACTCCTTAGTTCCATCTTTTTCTTGTTTGATAGAACCTTATCTTTTAAGTAAAACTTTCCTAAGTGAGCATTTAACATCTTCAGCTTTTATTCCTGCTGTTCGAATATAAGATAGCTTTCTAAAAGAGCTAGGTGGGTTTGCCCCAGGAAAGAAAAAAGTGAAATTGTTTTAAAAATTGCTACTTGAAAATCCATGTGTATCTATGTTATTCTGAAAGGTAATTAGAATTAAGCCTGGAAACAATGTATCTCCTGCTTTTTTTCATCAGACCACAGAATACCAGGTTGGAAGGGACCTCAAGGATCAGCTGGTCCAACTTTTCTTGGCAAAAGCACAGTCTAAGACAAGATGGCCCAGCACCCTCTCAGCTGAATCTTGAAAGTGTCCAACATTGGGGAATCCACCACTTCCCTGGGGAGATCTTTCCAATGGCTGATTTGGCTTGTGAAAAATTTTCCTCTTCTGTCCAGTTGGAATCTTCTTGGAGCAGCTTTTACCCACTGCTCTCCTTGTCTTTTCCATGTGACTCTTTGGAAAAAGAGAGTTTCCATCTTTGCAGTCACACTTTAAATACTGGAACATGGTGCTAGGGTCTCCCCTGAGCCTTCTTTTCCTTTCTTTTTCTTTTTTCTTTTTTTTTTTTTTTAATACAAATGAGTAACCAAAAGCTGATTGGATAAACAAAAATAGGGTCTGTAATACATTTACCAAAGTGTTTGCCCCCCGGCTTTAAATGGTCTTTGAATAAATCGTATTGTTTGAAAGTGCACATATGAATATCTAAGGTGTATGTAGGTCAATATGTTGCTTAGAGTTTCAGAGCTGTTTTCACATGGGAGCAAATAGTAGCATTTCACATTAAACAGAAATTATGCTTGAAGCTGGCCCATGGCTTGCATAATAAATGTAAAATATTGACATTAAAGTACTACAGGAAGTACTCAAGTATTACTGTCTGTTCTTCTGAAATAAAGCAGCTGACATAACACCTGTTGGGAGATGCTCTTGATCACTTTTTGAAAAATAACAGTTGGGCATGTTCTGAATTTTTCTGCTAGGTGAATGTAAAGCAGTGAAACACCATGAAGCATGTAAATGTTGCTCTAGTTTCTAGTTACCATATACTGCTTTGTTGAAGCTTCTTAAAGTTTTCTCTTGTAATTGGTTAAAATAAAGGGGTACTTAACAATATGTATTATTTTTTATTTATTCAGCTACTTAGAAACCTCTTCCCTTTAAGATGGGGAACTGGCTACACTGGGGCAGTACAGAGATCCACGCTGTGTTCAAACATAAAGAATCCAGGGCTAGTAAAGGTACCTTATCCTAACTTACATGTGCCTTTTTGGTTTTCTTTCTAATATTGGGTCTATGCTATTTATAGCTAAGAAGACTCTTGCCGTGATGGCTGTGCCATGGGAGAAGGCAACCATCAGATGCACAGCAATAGGAAGCTGTTTCTGAAGGCAGCTGATCACCTAGGGTGCAAGTCTGCCTTTGTGAATTCTTTTAACTCTGCATGTTGATAAAGATGTTCGCTGCTTTCCAAGAATGCTAAAATGTACTCAAGCAGTTTTTATGCTAGAATTTGTGAATTTGGAAATACCCTGTCTAGTTGCAGGAAGCTTGAAAGTAGTTCTTGTGAAGCTTGATGTTGTAATGTTGCTCCTTGCAGTTTCTCCTTGATGCTGAAGTTTAAGTAAGTGTTTTATTTTTTTCATTAGATCATTCTAAGATAGGCAGACTCCTGAAAGGGTTGCATAAGAAACAGCTTATTAACATGGAGATATATAAGGAATGTCTTCTATGCACGCCTCTGTTGGCATCAAGTGCTGAAATTGCAACCGGTAGTTGAGATGCATGCTTTGACCTGAAGGAAGCTTTATATTTTTAGTCAGATTATTTATGAGAACCGAAGTGCTAACCTGATGTCCCTTAAAAACAATTTACATAACTGTTAAAATGTAAAAAAAGCTTATTATTATAACACTTGCAGTATTTATGCAGCACCATTGGGTAGAAATATGTCTACTTCTGCAAATACTATTGCTTTCATGCCTGCATTAAGGGTCATGAATCTGTAACTGGGAATTGAGAAAACATAAAAGAAGGCAGTTGCCTCTGCAGCTGATCTAGTCAAGGTACAGGACATACCTAGTCAGAGGAAGATGTGGTCTATTTACAGGTTGATTTGGTGACTTTATGTAACGTGTGATTGCTAAAAACACTTTTATCTGCTATAAAATAGAAAAAATATTGCTTCAAAATCTGAAAGCGTAAAGTGTCATTTTCCCTCCTACTCATGGTTCCACAGAAGATTCACTTCTTGAAAGTGAGACGTATGGTTAAACCAGTTTTTTTTAAAAATGCAGTCATTTGACATACCCTGCTGTGGTTAAAATGCGGCGCACAAGAGGATTTGATTGTTCAAAAGTCAGGTTTTGAAAACATGGAAAGAATGGCCAGAAATTTTTTTCTTGGGATGGAATTTCTAGGAAGAATTGAAATGAGAAAGTAGGTGTTGAGAAATGCTGTTTGTTCTGTTACTCTGCAGTGTTTCATAATAGCTTTCATTATAAAGGAATGAGGAAAGTTAAGGGTAAATTCCTGTGTGGGAGAAGGGGCATATAGGCTTTCTAATTCACTTGATATATGCTGCTATGCAGCATGAGGAGCATGGCAGTACACAAGGCTTGTTCTAATGCTTTTAGCTTGTTAGGAGATTTCAACAGAAGGGATTTTTTAGTATGCCTGTGTATGTGTCTGAGCATGGATTTGTAACTCGGCATGAGTTTAAAGGAATACAGTTAAAAACAAGAACAGTATTGATTTTTCACTACTAAGGTAACACTACAAGGTAAGAATGTATAGTCAAACACTGGAAAATTGAAAGAATGACCATTTACCTTGTGAAAGGATATCATAACTCGTCAATGGTGCCTCCTTTTGTGCAGCCTAAACTGGCACACATCCACCTCTGCAAGCTTGCGCCTAGCTGATGTAATCTCAGGTAAGGGCTGCTGCACACGAGCCCAAATGCATAAGAACTCTGTAATAAGTGAATATACTGATCCTGATGTCTAATGAAAGATTTGCTTTGTTCAACTCTATTTTAAATGAGAGGATTGAAGCACAGAGTTATAACAAATTCTCATCACTCAGTGACTTCACAGGACAAGACAGCTAGGATGGTGGGATTATCTGACTACTCGTCAGCATTGTTCGCTCTCATCCAAGCTGCTGCATCTCTCTCTGTGAAGCTGTAGATAGCCAGGAAATCCTCCACTGAGGGTACTGGACAGGCATGATATATTTTGCATTGTAGGATAAACTTCCCATTGCAGTACGTTGTGGTGCCAGGTTGTTGTTAGCATATGCTAACAACATCCGTCTACACTTAGTGCTGGAGTGTAGTATGTCAGAACTGGTTGTAAAGGACTGCTGGGGATGGACAGAAGTGTCCCCAAGGTAAGAGCTGTCTTGAAAGCAAATTTTTGGTTAAAAAAAAATGGAACTACGTGTTCATTTTAAAAAGTGATATCTTCTTATACAAGCATTGTAAAATTTGGAGTTGGTTGGTGTATGTATAAGGGCTGAAAACTTCCTCTGAAAGAGAGATGAAATAAAGAATCATGAATGAGTTGTTTGTATTATATTGGAAAGATTAGGCATACCTTACCTTTTATGCTTGTTTGGGTTTTTTAAATCTTGAAGTAGTAGCAAGACTTGAAAGGAATGTGCTGGGCCTGGATTAAAGTTGATCATGGTTCTAAAAATTTGGATAGATCCTTTATTCCCATCTTTCAAACCAAAAAAAGGTTCTTTTTCCAGTCTGTCCACTTGTTCTCAGTAGACATAGTTGGTTGCTTAACATATCTAAAGTTAATGTTGTGGTGGTTCCCAGAGTTTTTGTTATGTATGCAAGTCTACTTTGGTCAGTACTTACTTTTTGTTTTTGTTTTGTCAACAGCCATGCAGCAGGTCCTGGATAACCTTACTGATCTGCCAACATCCACAGGTGCTGAAGAAATAGACCTGATTTTTCTTAAAGGCATTATGGAAAACCCTATTGTAAGATCACTTGCTAAGGTATTTAAACTTGCTGCTTTGAGTAGAATCTGGAAATATTTTAACTCTTAAATTACTGTGTTGAACACTGAGTATGGATTGGCATACTCATACATATTAACAATGGCCTTTATGTATGGTGCATCTTATTAAAAAACTTGAAGGTGAAGATACGGTATAATGCAATTTCTGTGCACGCTAATGTATTTTTAGATGGAAGATTCTCGAGAAAAGAAAAATTCAGAGACTCCAGAAATAACGTGGTAATGTTATTTATGAAGAAAATGTCAAAATAGTTGAAATTAGAAGCAGTTGGTTTTAATATAGTCTTGTGACCACTGTTGTGTGCAAAACCCATACACTTACTGACTTAGCATTTTTTCCAAAGATGAAAATTGAGACCAATAACTTTCTTCCATGGCATAAGCAAGTTTCCTTTTTGTTTTTGGCTCAAAATGACTTTTCTGATCAGCCCAGTGAAATAATCTTTCCATGCCCTATCCTGGATCTGAGAAAGTAATACTGGTACCTTGTCAGCTCCCTGAGACATCAGCTATCCTTAGATTTTGTATTGCATTATGAAAATCTTGTATTTATAGATGGCAGTCATAATTATGAGTATGTAAGGTGATATTGTCACCATGACAGATATTTACAGAAAATCTTTGGATTCTATAATTCAAATTACAGAAGCTGATCTTACCAGTAGGAGATGCAGTCACTATTGCTCAGAACTTACATTCTTAATCTTCATTAAATAAGATCCTTTCATGAGGAAAAACCAGTTCACTTAAATATAGCTGTCTCGTTAATATGAGTAGACATCTGAAAGCAATGCCCTCTAGGCAGGCATGAAATACTCTGTAAAGCTAAAGGATTGTTGTGCAGCGATTTTACTCAGTATAAAGCTCTGGAAAGGAAAAATCTCACAAGAATTCATATAACAATTTAGTTCTATTTAGCTTAAAAAAAATTGGTTGTAAGTGGAAGACATTGCATAGTAATAAACTTAGAAATAATGGAAGTGTCTCATCTGCTAGTGTGATGACTGCAGAGGGAAAGATTTGTATACTAAATTGGCCAGAGTAAATTAAAGTATTTTCTTTCTTAAGAGTTGTTTCCATCTTCGGTATCTGCTGCATAGAGCATCCTTAATTTAGTATTTATCATGAAGAAAAAGTTAATTGCAAAGCATTTGTTTTTTTATATCAATAATTTTTGTTGTAATGGCCAAATACAATTATATGGAATTTAATGACTAGCAGATGTAAAAAAGTGCTTGTAATGGAAATAGGTTCTTAACTATGAACTTGCTTGATCTAGAATGCTGAAAGGTTTTAATTGTGTTCATGTGGCATGACCACACTCATATTTTCTTTTGTAATTATTTTGGAATCGTACCCAGAATCTCAGTCCCAACCAGTGGAGCTAAATAAGGACAAGATCAACATGACAGCACATTTCATGAAATGTTTATCTTTCATATACATCCATTTGTCACTAAAAATTTGTAAATCTTGTTTTCCTATTAGAAGAGCTAGTTTTAACAGAATAGGCAATTCTCAGGACACTGAGATGGTCAGCTCATTTAAACAGATTCATTTTGGACCAGGCCAGAAATGCAAATGTTTTTTATTTTCCTTTACTAGTGAGTTATTATGACTAATCATTATGTAAAGTATTCCAAAAAGGACAAAAAGAAACTTGGCGAAATGTGCCATGAGCCATACAAGCTTATTTTTTTCTTTTTAGTCCTTAAAGATATAGAGCCAAGCAATAAGCATAGTAGTAAGTTTATAATACTTTGCAATGCAAAGTTTGGCTAATCTTTTAAAACTGTCTTAAGTTCATTTCACACCTTTTTCTGTCTGGAGTAAAGGCATCATGGTAGAAATTACAGATTTTTTTGGGATAGGATTCTTTCACTGTACCATTCTACTTTTCATGAGGTGGTAGGGGAAATCGTGATCACTGTAAAATGTATGATTTGCCTGTCACTTACTGGCATTTATAGAATCATAGAATAGTTTGGGTTGGAAATGGACCTCTAGAAATCATCTAGTCCAAGTCCCCTGCAGTAAGCAGGAACACCTTCCACTACTAGGTAGGTTGCTCAGAGCCCCATCCAACCTGGCCTTGAATGTTTCCATGGATCTACGACCTCTCTGGGCAACCTGTTCCCATGTTTCACCACCCTCATTGTAAAGAAATATCTTCCTTGTATCTAGTCTAAATCTACCCTCTTTTCAGTATAAAACAGTTACTCCATGCCCTATTCACTACAGGCCCTACTGAAAAGTTTGTCCCCATCTTTCTTCTAAGCCCCTTTCAGCCTGCAAGCTGCTCTAAGATCTCCCTGGAGCCTTTTCTTCTCCAGGCTGAACAAGCCCAACTCTCTCAGCCTGTCTCCATGGGAGAAGGTGCTCCAGCCCCCTGGTCATCTTTGTGGCCCTTCTCTGAACCTGCTCCAACAGGTCCATGTCTTTTCTATGCTGAGGTTTATGTCTGATCTTAAACTAGCCTTTAGAATTGTTATGCTCTTTTGAAAACAGTTGTTGAATTTGGAACATGCATGACTTTTACTCAGTTTTGGTACTGAACTGTCTTCTCAAAATTCTCTTCTGGAATGTTAATTATTCTTTTGACCTCAAAACTTTTATCTTCTTTTCCGCAGTCACACTTGCTTTTAGTAGTGTAGCATAGTCTGCAGCATGCCAGGTGGGTGCCTATCCCGGACCAAGGAAACATCTTAGGAGTAATCTATAAACATTTAGTCCAGTTTTTAGGATGTCAGATTGTTGGAGGCAAAAGCCTTACTGTTTGAACATTTGGCAAGTATAATAAATATTGAATGCATCAAAAGACTCAATTCCGTATCACTATTTCTGAAATGAAAAATAATGGCACTGTTAGGTATTCTTTCTTCTTTTTTTTTTTTCCTTTTTTCTTAATTATTCATACCATTCCATAACCTGCTACTCCAGCGTATCCCAGAATCAGAGTTTGTTCATTTTTAAAGCTTTCAGTTCCCCAGCATATACATGGCCTTGATTTTGGAATGGAGGGTGAGCATATTTGAATTTAGATTATACTCTGTTAGTGGTAGTATTTTAAAGAAAGTGAGTGAGAAAAAAGATGACCCATATTCTCTGATCTTACAAAGGTTTTGCAGTTGGAGTATGTTTAAAATTCAATAGGTTTGTGTTTTGGCTTGCTATAAAAGAAGTTAACTTTCATAGAAGGGTATTGTTTACTGTATGTATTATGTGCAAAATAGCATTCCCTTATTAAGGAGAATGTGTGTAGGTGCCAAGCTTCCCATGACTTTGTAATCATGGTCATTTGGTTTGTGCGTGTTGGTGTTGGGGAATGTTGGAAATGTCTCTATGTTAAGTTAGCCTCCAAGTGTTTTGATCATCAGTCCTGCAGAAATACCATTTTGTAGACATGAAGTAGAATTTAATACTCAGATGATTTCAGGAAAAAAAGGTTTCTGGTTTTAGCAAAATTTTATTTTAACGTGTTTTAATGCACTAAGAAGAAATACATGTGTGCACATACCTTCAGATTATAGATATGGAAAGTATAGGTACATGAATCCCACATATATTGTTATTTTTTGTGTTTTCACATGCCAAAGGAATTGTTCTTTTTTGAACTTCTTGTTACGGTGTTGTACTCTTAATTGAGTGCATTGAGAATCTTAGTTATTTTTGGCCTCCTCTTGTTCCCGAATTTTATGATCACAGCACTGTAAATTTTATGATACAACACAATAAATAAGCTTTATGAGATATTTCTCTTGTTTCTCAAAGCTCCTACCTTTCAATGAATTGAAGTATCTGCAGTGTGTAGGAAAGGATTATGTCTGCAGCAGTAGCTCTAGAAAGAGATTGAAAGCTATCACAGAATCCCAGAATGGTTGAGGTTGGAAGGGCCCTCTGGATAGCATCTGCTCCCACTCCCTTGCTCAAGCAGGGTCCCCTGGAGATGGTTGTTTGGGACCATGGCCAGATAGCTTTTGGGTATCTCCAAGGAGGGAGACTCTAACCTCTCTGGACAACCTGTGTCAATGCTCAGTGACCCTCACTGTGGAGAAAGCGTTTCCTGATGCTCATCCAGAGTTTCCTGTGTTTCAGTTTGCGCCCGCTGCATCTTCATGGAAAAGGTTGTCAGCTGGTTCTGTTTTCCAGTGCCGTGACAGTGAATATCAGCATGGAAGCAGCTGTTGATTCACTGGCAGCACTGGAGGTTTGCCTACAGTGACCTAGGGTATAGTTGCAGTGGCTCAATAGAATCTTGTCCTGTCACTGGGTACCACTGAAAAGAGACTGGCTCTATCCTCACTGCACCCTCCCCACAGGTATTTACACATTGATGAGATCCCACCTGAGCCTTCTCTTCTCCAGGCTACACAGGCCCAGCTCTCTCAGCCTTTCTCAAATGTGAGGTGCTCCAGTCCTTTTACCATTTTGTGCCCCTTCACTGGACTCTCTGCAGTATGTCTAGAAGGGTACACAGTACTTTAGTGTGGCCTCAAGAGTGCCGAGCAGAGCTCAGCCTTCTGATAATAGCATTCTTATCACAGCCCAGGATATTGTTAGCCACTTTTGCTATAGACTTTTCTTTAGCATTTCCTCTGTCTATGCGCACTTCCCTTTAGAATTGGCTGTTTTGAAGATGTTTGAATGAGAAGACACTGGGGTAAATGCTGCTCTCATGGACTCTGTTTTTTTCCTGAGCAGATCCCATAGTTCCTTTTTTGTCCTCATTCTAGAAGGTGTACTTGTACTGGGTTCTGAAGCAGAAGAGATCTGAGGTGCTGTACTGTTCAGTTTGGTGTATATAGCATAGAGGTGATAGGAAATCAGGACATACAAGCATCCCTAACAGTTGCTGCTTAAAAGTTTGTTGGGTCACATAATTAAACATGCAAAATCCTTTGGCAGTTATAAAAATAAAATACACAGATATATATGTGAATTTTCTGGCTTCTCTGCTAAAAGTTGCACTGAGAAGTTATTGTAAAGGTGTAAAAATTTGAACTACTTTGAACTTATTTACAACGTAGTCTCATATATTTAATCTTACAGGCTCATGAGCGACTGGAAGATTCTAAACTTGAGGCTGTCAGTGACAACAACCTGGAGCTGGTGAATGAAATTCTTGAAGACATCAGTCCCTTAGTAAATAAAGATGAAAATATCGCGGAATTGGTTGGAATACTCAAGGAGCCTCATTTTCAGGTGACACCTTTTTACTGTATATTTCCAACTTACTGTCTCTGTGTCCACATATAAATCTAAGAATAATAATGAGACAAAACCTGAACTGTAGCAAGCTTTAATATATGTGATTTTACTCCAAATGAAAGGCAAAGCAGAAGCCATGTGGGGTTAAGAATGAGCATGATTTTATTCTTTGATGTTACTTCTAGAATATCTTCACCCATTGTTTTAAATTCCACTGGAGTTTCTGTTACAAATCTTGGAGAAACATTTACTTCCTGTATGACTGGTGTTCCCATAACAATTCCCTCAAGGCTTCATCCTTAGCATTTCCAGGTGGGCTCAGTTCCTGGTAATGACCGTTCTGCATTTCAGTTCAGCTGCTGGCATTTATACTCAATGTGTGAGATGTACAGTTTGCAGAGTGAATGAGCGTGATTCTTCTATGATGTGATCTGCACTGCAGCTTGAGACTCTGCATCCCTCTCAATGTTGCTCTGATTCAGTGAAGTTTTGACTTATGCTTGTCAGAAGCAGATGTTTCTCCATAGCTGCCATAGCTACCAGCTTCCATACTGTCCCTTGAAGATCAGGGTTTGTAAATCCTTGGTAGATTCTGGACTTTCTAGGCAGGCTTCAGCTGACTTTAGTATTTAGCTGTAGGTATACTACAGAAGAACATAAGCAGACCTTTTGCCAGGGTATAAATGTGCTTCTTCTGGCAAACAGGTATAGAATCATAGATTTATTCATTTATTTGTATATGGGTTTAAATACACATTTTTTTCCTAAATTTTTAGTTATGCATTATACAAACATAACAGTGAGATGCACTACTGTTTAACATAGACACTGAAAATACTGTCAAGCTGTGTTGTGGCCTGTTGGAAGAGAGAATATTTTTAAGAGCTCAGCTTCTGAGGTGATAGCTCTTCTGAGTGCTGATAGTTCCTTTACCTCTTTTGAAGAGCAGTGCCTTGGTCTCCCTTGTGCTCATATTTGCCCAGAAGGGCATCATAGCTAGTGGTTCAAAGACCCTTTGGAGACTAACTGGTGAATAAACCTGCTAATCAAGTCTTTGATCCTTAGCAGAAATTGGCACTGGAAAGGGGGAGGATGAGTCTGAAGAAATTCATAGTTACAATGCAAAAAGATTGCAATTGAGGGCCAACTGGTGCACTGACAGATCTGACAAAGATTCATTGTGTTAGATAGAATCATAGCACTAAATGAACTAAAGCTGACAAGTCAGAGGGTAAATTGAAAAAGAACTTGCTGGAGTAGACTGACTTTGAAGGACACTGTAACAATGATCTCTGGAGAGAGATGGCAAAGACCAGAAACCAACTGTGCAAAGAATCTTTGTGGTGGAGACTGGAGACTGAGATCAAATAAGAATTTTAATTAGGCTGAGTGGTCAATACTGAGGCAAACCCAGCATTCATTCCTGTTCAGTGGTTGTATTAACAAGGAGGCACAATATGAAATGCACAACATGCTGCTGGTGTCGGTTGCTCCATTACTTCAGGCTTAAGCTACTTATACATTTAATTTGAAAGTTACAAAGTAGCTGGTGAGCAGAAGTCCCAGTATTTCTGCTGTTTCTTGCATGTTTTTTGTTGCTTGATTTATAAAGAGCATACTTGGAATTGCATACATGCTGCATTAGCTTTACAATTCTGTTCTGATCTTTTGATAGTGTTTCCTAATTGCATCTTAAAGGCCCATTTAACAAATCTCTCTTCTGTTTTCCATCTTTGTCCCCAGCCGTAGGCATCTAGTGAGCATCTAGGATAAGCCAGCAGTGATACCTTCCAAAATGTTTTGTGAGAGTTTAGTGATTTGTTGCTCAGACTTCTGAGTGAGGAATAGCATTATCTACCTGTGGCGTCTATTCCATCAGCTTGTTCAGTTGTTTTTTTAACCTCTGTGAAAATCTGGTATTCACAACATCACCCATCTGAGCGGCTGCTTTGTTTTTGAGACTGTTTACTCTCAGTTTTATTTCATAGCCCCTTGTTCCTGTGTAGAAAGTAAATGATGTTTTTCCTAATCAGCTTTTTTGTGTTATTCGTGATTTCAGAGGCCTTGTTGTATATGTGTGCCTGTCTCAAGTAAATAAAAAGAAGGGAAGCAAAGCTGTATAAAGTTTTCCGAAGTCATTTACAGCAGCATGGATTTATGAAGTGGTATAGTAATTTCCATTGCATATCCTACTCATTGCCTAAAAATTCCTAGTAGTTTGTTTGCCCTTTAACAGCTAGTGAATAGAATAGCGTAGTTCAAGTTGGAAGTGACCTACAATGATTATCCGACTGCCTGACCATTTCAGGGCTGACCAAAAATTAAAGGATATTATTAAGGGCACTGTCTAGATGCATGTTAAACACTGACAGGTATGGGGCATCAACCACCTGTCTGGGAAGCCTTTTCCAGTGTTTGACCACCCTCTCAGGAAAGCAGAGGTACCTTTAGGCTCAGTAAACATAGAGATGTATTGCTTTTTTGGTTTTGTTTTGTACTGTTTACGCCTCTGAGATACCACTTCTGAGTCTGTCATTTAATAGGTTAAATTAGGATGGTGTTTTCCCTTGCAGCCTGTGTTGAATTTCATTTGCCTTGTTCTCACTCTGTTGTTCATGAGGTGCTCCTGCAGGTTACAGTCAGTTGTTTCACTCCTTGAATAGTTTAGCAGCCTTAGCAAACCCTGTCATTTCACTTCTCATCCTCATTTCCTAGATCACTTACCTGACATGTCAGTGAATTGGCAGGTGTAGAACTGAGCCCAAATGCCTGTGGGAAATCCCCTGGTGACATGAATTTTGAAAACTGATAATACTCTGTTCCTGGCCCTAATTTTTCTGTCTTTTACCCACTTGAGAGCCTTACTGCTTATCCAGTAGTAGCTTTGCTTCCTTAAGACTTTGATAAAGGAGTCTATCAAAGGCCTTTTGGAAATTGATCTGTATTATCAACCATAACTGCCTTGTTGCTATGCTTGGTGACTCTTTCAAGGAACTTAACTAGATGTGAGAAGCATGACTTTCCTTTTTAAAGCATGTTGGTGCTTCCCCATGATACCTTTTGTACAATCATTCTGTTTTTATGAAACAACTTCTCATTTGTTTAGTATCAACATCAGACTTCCTGGTTCACAGTTTGTTGACTCTTCCTTGGAAACCAGTTTAAAAATTCATGTCATGATTATTGCATGCTATTAACAAGATTGCATGCTGCTTCTTTCAGTATCCTGTTGGGTAAGTCATGGATATGTAAGAAAAATAAGCTATTTCTAGAGCTTCCTACTTAATTTGCTGCAAAATCTGGATGGAACAGAAAGAATTGGTTGCAAAAGAAAAAGCCTATTTGATGGTTATATGCTGCCCTGGAGAACTAATGTAACCACTCTGTCAGAATTAGAATTCATTAAAAAAAGGTCTGAAGCAGCTTTAACTTCGGTTTTGGGGTTCTTTTTAATTATTATTTTCTAAGTGCCTGTTGTGAGGCCTTTAGTCTCACTTGCAGAAACAGTGAGCAGTTTTGGCCACTGTGTACAGGCAAAAAGCAGCTATCTGCTTGCTTTTTGAAACTAGATCTTAGGTGATTCAGTTCTGAAGCCTAAAGTTAGGATGTACTTTTGTGCTTTTGTTCTCCACCTGGAGGCAGGCAGCAAAGATAACTCAGGTCGAAGTAGCAGTGTTGTGATGAAGTGTTTTTATTTAACTGATACCATAGTTATGACCACTCTGGAAGAGCTTCTAGGACAATTTGCAGACCAAAATGTGGATACAATATTCTTTCTAAGGCTTGAGGAGGCTGTATGTCTGTCTCGGAAAAGGAAATAGAAAATGAACTAAATAGTCAAGAATTAATCCTTTCTGCCTCATTTGGTGCAAGGAGGCATGTTCCAAATTCTGCAAGAGGGAGCTGTAAGGAAGAAAGAAAAAATACAGTGTCACTTGTAATTATAGAAAGTGTAGCTTGCATCCTTTCTCCAGTTCAGTAACTGTATAAAGAAGCCACCTTGACGTCTTTTGAAATTTCAGAGACACTATTGTGTAACTGGTTTAGAGGCTAATTCTGTATTTTCCAAATGAATGGTACCACTTTATCACAGTGTCACCTTAACAGTTGTAACACACCTCAGCATACATGTATGAAATGTGGTATACAAGTAATGAGTGCAACAGCTTATCTGAAGATATAATTTAGTGCTGAAAATACTGAATCATGGAACGTTGGAGAGGGACTGGCTTCTGGAGTGCAGGGCATGTATGGTTATACTGTTGTGTTTGACTGACTGCTCCTCCCATGACTCATTTCTCGTTTCATTCCTTTTTCTTCCCTTCCACTTCTTATCCTTTTTAGTTTTAACTGAACTTCTCAGAGGTCAAAATGTTGGAAGATGATAAGTTCTTATGAGTTTCACAGTATTTATGTCTGGTCTTCATGCCAATATGTATTAAGAGCCCACTGACACATGCAGTGCATAGAAGGGGTATAGCAAGTCTTACCAGCCAGTAGCTGGAGAGCAGGAGAGAAGAGTGGCAAAAGCCATTGCCTTGAGAGAAGAGGGAGGAGCACTGTTTGAGCGGTTAAACCTGCAGAGGAGTAATTTCTGCTGCTTATGAAAGAACTTGTTCAGTTACTTTCACCTTCCCAAGAATTATACAAGCCATTCATCCTGAACAGTAGAGGCTGCTGTATCTACTTCATCTGAAAAAGAAGCCAATATTTTCTGCTAATAGTAAGCTTTATAATGGCTAATCATACCTTTTAAAAAGTTCCATTTAGCAAAGTGATTTTAAGTTGCCTCCTGGACAGATCTTAATTTACAGGGTTATTTTCTGCACATATTCATGCCTCCTTACCAGTCCCCCAGGTTTCTCTTAAGATCTTAAATGATTTCCTCACTTTTTCAGAAAAACCTTTAAAAATGTCATCTTTTCACATGTACATTAGGGGCCTCCAGTTTATTTAGTAAATTCTGATATTTAAACAGTGTTATCAAATAAGACAAGCCCATGTTTAGTGCATAAAGGAGGAATAGAAATATTTTAAGTACCTCTGAGGCAGGAAGTGTTAGGAAAGGAGTCCTGAGTTCAAGACCATAGAGTTGTTCTGCTCTTGTGTATTCCCCCCACCCCAGCCCCCAATTTGTAATTTATTTGTTCTGATGGATCACAGAACAATTTCTGTTGGGGAAATAATTATGATATAGGGCAGACAGTGCTTCAGATCATGTAGAGATGGAGCTGAGAATCTTTTTAGGGAAAACAGATTCTGAATTTGAGCTTGGCTTCAGCGCTGTAGAGAGCTTTGGATGTTTAATGGTTCTTTCTTTACTGAATTTGAATTCACAGAATCATAGAATTGTTACTTCTTAATTATTTTTTTACCTGTCAAATAAGTACAGCAACAGAAAACTATTGTAAAGAAGTTGACAGGTTTTAAGTTTATAAATGACTTTCTGACAGTATCTTGCACAAAGGAGCCATGCTGTCTGCCACAGGACTGTATGTCTGTTGTGCAGTATGCCTTGTGATATGCAGAGAGTTCTTCTAAATGTCCTGTCCTGGCAATATTGCTATTTTGTCCATGACAATCTTTCTGCAGTTACTCAGTTTTGGATAGTCAGCTGATCCTGTTTACATGTGCAGCATGGAAGAAACTTTGAACTGTTTTATGGTTGTTCATTATTCAGTCCATGTTGTTTTGCAGACTTCAGCAGTGGTTTTATAAGCGTTCCAGCACCAGTATGAGAAAGGTCAGATTCCAGAGGAGCTCTGGAGCTGCAGGAGCACAGGATATCACTTTTACCAATACCATAAGAAAGAAACAAGTGAAGCTTATGCAACTGCATTTCTCAGATCACTCAGCCGTATTCCTGAAATAAGTACTGAGTGACGTAAAACATTGGAGGGCAGTCCAGCAGCAGCTAGAAACGCATAGCCCTTGTTGCCAGGTGGCTTTGTTTCAGTGTCCTTCAGGACTCTATGCTGTGACCTGGTAGGCTAGAAATAAGTCTCGTAAAACTGGTATGGTATCCTTGAGTTTCAGAACTGAGAGTTAGGTATGGGATGGTAAAAATTTACCTATGTCTTGCTTTAAGGAAACCAATGAACTATTTTACTTAAACCATTTTATAATCGTGGGCAGCAGTGTAGGGTCCTTGATAGTCTTTCTGTGACTCAGCCATCGTGTAAAGAGCAGGGTAAAGATTTTGTGGTTGAGAGATTGTTAAGTAGTAATTGAAGGAATTCATGCTTGTCCATAAAACTGAGTGAATCAGTTGGATCAGCATATGGAATAGGATTAGATTTAAGAACTGAAGAATCTTACAGAGCATGTTAATTTTAACAGGATGACAGAGACTGTTAGTTTAGTAGCCTGTTTTGACTGTGGATCAGATTATAATCCATAAATTATATGACCACTAGGGCAGGGAGCTGTACAGGCATGGTTAGGTGTAAGGTTCCACAAGAAATCTATTGGTTTGTGGCCAGAAAGTTTGGGAACAACTTGTTCTAGCATGTGATTAAAAGAGAATACTGGTAGTATCATACTGGTGTATCTACCTGTTTTTGTCAGTGGCACTGTGTTAAAATGTGTGCTTGATGTTAGTTGGTTTCATGTTGGGAATGTAGAAAGATAAAAAATGCTTATTGCAAACATTGGCAAATAGAGATCTGTTCTTAACGGTTTCTGGATTGGATGTGTCTTGGATAATGAAGAATTAGAAATTGCTACCATCTGACAGCTGCTTGATTTAAATAAATGATTGTTTTTCGTGTTTAATTTGATTTGGTTTGTCCACAGTATCAGAGCTGCCACAATAAGCAGCTGTCTTTACAGTCTTAATGGCAGGGGCAGAATCAGTGAATTCTCCTTCTAACCTCAAGTTCAAGTATCAGCAGGATCATTGTGTGATGGGCAGATGACAATGACTGTTCAGGTTTGTGATGTTTTGAGGACTTGCATGTTGAGGTTAGCACTAAACTAATATGGTTGCACAACTTTTAAGTTGGAAGTGGCTTACAGAAGGATAGAGCAGACTGCATAGCAAAGTTATTAATTTGCCTAAATTTTGCCTGCTCACCTGCTCTGCTTTCTAGTAGTTTGCTGTCTTCCCCTGGCATGTGCATGTCACTATCTGTGATAGTCCCTAATCGTGTCTTCTCATTTTAGCTACTTATTTCATACCAGTCAGTGATACGACTTAAGACTGTATCTTATCAGGTCACTGTCTGAGACAAAACTATGTTGTTTGAAGCCTAGTAGACATCTCTTCCACTTGCTTCTTTTCCTCTTTCTGCATCTGTCAGTGAGAGTTCTGCGCTATAGAAATCTATCTACAACTATCATAGATGGTGGCTATAGGAATCTCTTTTCCTCTTCTAGACAGGAACTGTCTGATATTGCTTTATTTGTATGTATTGTCTTATAAATCTTTTCTTTAAATTTTAAAGTATCTCTTATGAAAAAATTAAGTATAAATTGCTTTGTCTTCCAAAGATGATTATTTTTATTTGGATCTCCTCCTTTTGCTTTGTATTTATGTACAGGGACTGGGGAAAACACCATTAACTACATGGTCTGAGTTCTTGTCTTCCAGAAAGTGAATTCTGTCAACTTGGATTCATTTGGTGCTAGAATTCTGCCTTGGCTTTATGCAAGCAGAAATCACTCATTCTGCAGATTGCTAGAAATCCTTGCATACCTGTAATTATCCAAATTACTGTGGAGGAAAATTTTATTACATTAAGTACAAGTATCTAATGATGAGTTATCTTCATTTTTTTTTTTGCAGAGGGTTGTTTGTTTACTTTAACCATTTGCTCAGATACTGTCTCATTAGGTGGAAAGCTATTTTAGGTACTCCTTTTTCAATCTTCTCTGCAAGATCACATATTCCTCACAGATTCATGGCATTTCTTCTATGCTTCCTTAAGAAGCATTTGCATTTCCAAAAGAGAGCATATTTACCAAGATAATAGGCTTATCAGTCTGTGTGAGTACTTGTACGTCAATTTTTGCTCCATTCCATGTGAACTGAGAGTTTTATGGTCTGATCCCAAAAGCGCAGATTCAGTGGTTATTCAGCACTAAACCCTTTTGGAAATGGTTATATCATGGTTTGAAAAAAAGTTTTTTTTTTTTCTGTTCCTTTGCAGTCACTCTTAGAAGCACATGATATTGTGGCTTCAAAATGTTACGATTCCCCTCCTTCTAGCCCAGAAGTCAATAATTCTTCAGTGAACAACCAGATTGTTCCAGTAGATGCTATTCGTATCCTTGGAATTCACAAAAGAGCAGGAGAACCATTGGTAAGTCACTGAAGATATGTGTGTCTTGAAAGTCTGAGTGAAAATGTTTTCATGTGCCTGATTTCTTGCATTATGTTTTAATTGTTTCCATTATTATGTTATGTAATTTAGTGGGTGATAAGATCATTATCGAGAAGTTGATACAAGACTATATTCGTTCTTTTAAAGAAATTATGGGATGGCGAACAAGCAGTCACAAGGCTGAATGACTTGCTAGGATGACTGACTAACACAATGTCCCTTTTGGTCCTGGTACAAAATGACAGGATTGCACATAATAAATAAAAGTTCAGTCATATGAAAAGCTTGTCTGAAAGCCCTTTTGTGTCACCTGATGCTTATCTGTGTATTAGGAACTCTTACACTGTAGTAACTATTACTGTCTGGTTGTATTGAGGTAGATAGAAAAATCACATGGTTTTGCTTGAGATAATGGTAAAATGAAATGAAATTTAAATGGTGGTAAACTAGCTGTCACATACCTCTTTCAGGGTGTTACATTTAGAGTTGAGAACAATGATCTGGTAATAGCACGAATTCTACATGGTGGAATGATAGATCGACAAGGTCTTCTGCATGTAGGTGACATTATTAAAGAGGTGAATGGCCATGAGGTTGGAAACAATCCAAAAGAATTGCAGGAACTGCTGAAAAATATTAGTGGCAGTGTCACTCTGAAGATTCTCCCCAGCTACAGAGACACTGTTATTCCTCAACAGGTCAGTAGCACATTTCTAAGTTCCTGTCAAAAGATTATTTTAAGATCTTTTAATTATTTTATGTATTTAATGCTGGCAAGAAGTCTAAACTGTATATACCTGTATTCACCTTTAATTACATTGTGGAAGTGGGTTTACTCTGTAGACTGATACCACACCTAATATCCCTGCATAAAAAAACTTTATTAGTATCTAAAATTGATAAGCATTTATATACGACATATAAATCGTGTTTCTTTGACATCCAGTGACCTCTGCTGATCTAGCCACAGTATCACAGTATCACAGTATGTTAGAGATTGGAAGGGACCTCGAAAGATCATCTAGTCCAATCCCCCTGCCGGAGCAGGAACACCTAGATAATGTTACACAGGAATGCGTCCAGGCGGGTTTTGAATGTCTCCAGGGAAGGAGACTCCACAACCTCCCTGGGCAGCCTGTTCCAGTGTTCCGTCACCCTCACTGAGAAGAAGTTTCTTCTCAAGTTTAAGTGGAACCTCTTGTGTTCCAGTTTGTACCCATTACCCCTTGTCCTATCATTGTTTGCCACTGAGTAGAGCCTGGCTCCGTCCTCGTGACACTCCCCCTTTATATATTTATAGACACTGATAAGGTCACCCCTCAGTCTCCTCTTCTCCAAACTATAGAGACCCAGCTCCCTCAGTCTTTCCTCATAAGGGAGATGCTCCACTCCCTTAATCATCTTAGTTGCCCTGCGCTGGACTCTCTCCAGCAGCTCCCTGTCCTTCTTGAACTGAGGGGCCCAGAACTGGACACAATACTCCAGATGCGGTCTCACCAGGGCAGAGTAGAGGGGAAGGAGGACCTCTCTCGACCTACTAACCACCCCCCTTCTAATACACCCCAGGATGCCATTGGCCTTCTTAGCCACAAGGGCACAGTGTTGGCTCATGGTCATCCTGTCGTCCACTAGGACCCCCAGGTCCCTCTCCCCTACACTGCTCTCTAACAGGTCATTCCCCAACCTATACTGGAACCTGGGGTTGTTCCTGCCCAGATGCAGGACTCTACACTTTCCCTTGTTATATTTCATCAAGTTACTCCCTGCCCAACTCTCCAGCCTATCCAGGTCTTGCTGGATGGCAGCACAGCCTTCTGGCGTGTCAGCCACTCCTCCCAGCTTAGTGTCATCAGCAAACTTGCTGATAGTACACTCAATTCCCTCATCTAAATCATTGATGAATATATTAAATAATACCGGTCCCAGTACTGACCCTTGAGGCACTCCACTAGTTACAGGCCTCCAACTAGACTCAGCCCCATAGACTACAACTCTCTGGCTTCTCTCCTTCAGCCAGTTCGCAGTCCACCTCACTACCTGATCATCCAGTCCACACTCACACTAAACATGCAGTGAACTGCATGTGTTTATAACATGATCAGTGTTCAAGTAATCTCTTTCGTAGTATTCAGGAACATATGGAATCCAACAGCTGAGTTTGAACTCCCCAACTTAAGTAGGAGTTTGGATGGTGGCAATTCCTTATCCTGCTGTTGTTGCTGTAGGGTGTTGATTTCTCCACTGCAGAGGTAACTTGTACCTCTAAAACAAGTCCTCTAAGCCTCTGAAATACCATATAAGACACTCCTTCAAGTAGTGGGTCTAATGCTTGTGACTGTAACAGACTATGCCAGCGCTGAGTAGATGCTGAGGGAATGTGCTGTATTTGAGGCAGGTGCGCTGCTTCCTTTGTTCCCCAGCCTGGTAGAAAAAAGTCAAAAGATGTTTCCAGTCTATTGGTGCATCTTGATTATTTCTTCATCTGCATCAAATTTGAGTCTTAAGCAGTCACATATCTTGCTTGATTTAAAACACTGATTTAATGGCCAAATTAATTCTTAAGATTCCACGAACCTTGAATGCAATGCTCACATTCTGAGAGTTTTTAAAATATTTTTAAGTAATTTAAAGTCAGAGTACTAATTGAATTGCATATACTGAGACGCAGAAATGAGTGTTTCATAATACACTGTCCAAATAGAGCAGTTGGGGGTTTTATTTTTATCATGAAGCTCTTTCATCCAAGGCTTGCACTGCTGATTATTGTACTCTCTCAGCTGGTATATGCCTTTTTTTTCCACAGATTGTATTTTACTTGCCAAATGCAACTTTGATCATGTCTAACTGTAGGTAAAGACATTATTTCAGTTTAACAAATAAGAATGCATTTTATAATGTTTAAGCTTTGTAAATTTTTCCCCATTTCAGGTTTTTGTGAAGTGTCATTTTGATTATAATCCATATAATGACAACCTCATCCCATGCAAAGAAGCAGGTTTGAAATTTTCTAAAGGAGAAATTCTTCAGATTGTAAACCGGGAAGATCCAAATTGGTGGCAGGTTGGTAAAAAGATTAAAAAGTAAAATAAGAACCCCCTAAAAGCTTCAGTAGTTGCTGTAATAGTAAACTCTTTAAATGGTGATTTGCTTCCCTTTAAAACTAGATATAAGAAAAAATATTTACATTGCAATCTAATTTCAAGCTAATACCAAGATATTAACAGTTGAAACACTAGAGAAAATTGAATGGTATAAATTGTAACACTCATTTTGCTATTACTGCTATTTATTTGTCTTTGTTCTTGTATCATAAACCTAGACATTCCACAGTCGGTTTTAAGTGGATAATTTCTAGCTGAAAGTCTTAGGTTGACTATGTTAATTGTAGTAAGCCTTCCCTGACAGCGACTATGGAAGAAGTGAACCCCTTCCTGAGTGCTCAGAGTTGAGGAGAGAGAGGGAAATTAACCCTGCGGATTTGAAGAGGGGTGAGAATAGCTGTTTGAAGAAGCTCTGTCTTTTATTTCTGCAGTGGTGGTCCTTGTATGTGAGCTGTAACATGCATGTTCATAATCAAAATGTTTGGCACTATTTCAAATATTAACAGTTCATCCTGCTTTAAGGTTGTATTTCCTCATTCAGTCCTTCAGTAGACATGTAATCCAGTATTTATGCTGGTTTTCATTTTTCCAAAACACTATACATACAATTGAACATCATCAGTGCCATTGAAAGTGGGATTAGTGAACCTTTAGGACACTCTTCTCAACCAAGATACTCAAAATTGCAAGTGGCAGTGGCAGTCTAGGCAAAAAGTTTAGCGTTACTCATTTCCCTTTCTGCCCCTTAATTGCTCACCCTTTGCTAGATAACAAGCCAAACATTACTTGAGAGCAAGAGATGTATGACTTCTTTAAGAGCCACAAAAATATCTGAATATACATCAACAACTGTTGCTGAATTCTGTTGCTTGTCAGTGACGGTAACAACAGAAAGACTAAGAAGTGTGAGGGAAGACAAAAAATTTCTTACTGCCAAGTTCATTAGTTTCAATTAACTCTGTAGTAGTTTGACATTTAGCTTACATGCTGTGTTCTGTATTGCTTTTCAAGTCCTCCAGTTGTAACTGGTGGGTGCCGATGAGAAATAAATACTCTATGGGTAGCAAACATGAAATGCGTTAAACCAGTATAGTGTGTTGCAAGTCCTGCTATGCAGATCGTGCCATTGGAGAGAAAAAAACAGTTTTTCCTTGTGTTTTCTAGAAATGCCAGACTGTTACTGAAAACTTGCTAACTGTAAAATACCAGTCAGTCATAGGTAAAAGGAAATGGTTCCTGATAGCAAGAGACAGGCTGACCAGTTATGGAGAAGAAAAGTGTACATTTCATAATTGTGTGTTTGTACATGTTAAGCTTGCTGAGAATTGAGCTAGCCATGAAATTACTTTGTACAGAATCTTGGCCAAACATTCATTACTAGGAATACTTCAGTTACTAAGATTTTAAATCTCTAGTTAGTGCAAAAAGCTTAAGGCATGATTAGGTATGTATTAATGACATTGACTGTTTGTGAAATGACTGTTAATAAGCTGCACTGCTCCTGTTTGGAGCAGCTCGAGTACAAAATAAGTCTGCAGTGTACTAGAAAGTCTTGGGGTTTGTCACTTGAGAGTTCAATATCTGGAGAATTCCATTTTGATGCCAAAGGTTTACGGCTATAGGAGCTTACTAACTTAATGGGAACCAGTAATGAAATGTATCTGTTTTATTTGTTTACTGAATTTTAATACTCAATGGGAGGACACTGTTACTGTAAGACAGAATACCCAAATCTGAGTTTGAATTTCGAAGTGTCAGTAGTAAATGTATCGATACCATCTTTGGGAAACATTGGCAGTGTGAAAGTCAGACATCATTATGTCAATGAGAAAAATGCTTCTCCCAGCTTACCTGTGTTTTTTCTTGTTTTCCCCCAGGCTAGTCATGTCAAAGAAGGAGGAAGTGCAGGGCTTATTCCCAGCCAGTTCCTGGAAGAGAAGAGAAAGGCCTTTGTGAGGAGGGACTGGGATAATTCAGGTAAGATTTAATGAATTTCAGGGGTAGATTTTGCTCCATCTGTTATGCTTCTCCTGCTTTCATAGAGACTAGAAAACTGCTGTGTGAGAATACACAGAATGTTGCAAAATTATTGTATTTTGGCTTTGACTGAAAGACAAAGGCTGAAGCCTATGCTTAGTCTTCATAGGCACACGAACCAATTTTGCCACCTGCTGATGAAATGCTAAGTTAGGTGGGAAAGGCCATTTTATTATTTTTTTTTTTTAAAAGCTCTTTATTGTGTTTTTGTAGCATAAACTGAAAGTTAATAAATTAAACATGTTTAATGGATTTTTCTGCTGTTTTTTACAAAGCTTTCTAAGAAAATGTCTTCTGTCTTCAGTTCTTACGATACCATTTGATGTGAATGAAAATATATGTGATCTTCTGCCCTAGAATATATAAAAATCTAAACTAGTCCTTGTACATTTAATTAATCTAATCCTGCATATGTTCATGTAAATAAGTGTTGGAAGAAGACACTCAGCTAGAATTATAAGTTTGTCTCATTTTTTTATTTTTAGGGCCTTTCTGTGGAACAATAAGCAGCAAAAAAAAGAAAAAGATGATGTATCTCACTACAAGAAATGCAGGTATCTCTTAATATTACATATACATCAGAGTACTTTAGCCTTCTGAACTTGCGGAGTCTAGAAGATCCAAAGCTGAAAGAATTGCAGTAAAGGAATTGATTATAAATTTGTTTGATAGATAGTTTTTATGGTTTAAAAGCAGTAATGATCAGTGAGGATATGATGGTGCTGAGTATACCTTTTGGTAGGTGAGGGTCAGAGAAGAAATGTTTTTTACAAAGAGGAAAAGAAGTGAAAGCTTTGCTGCCAGTAGGTTGAGGGATGTGATCCTTCCCCTCTACCCAACATTGATGAGGCCACACCTCACGTGAACTGGGCTCCTCCTCAGTGCAAGAGAAATATGGATGTACGAAGATGATGAGGGGACTGGAGCATCTTTCCTATGAGATGCTGGAAGAGCTGAGTCTGTTCAGCCTGGAGAAGGCTCAGAGGGATCTCATCAGTGGGTATAAATACCTGAAGTGAGGGTGCAAAGAGCACATAGCTAGGCTCTTTTCAGAGAAGTCCAGTGACAAGACCAGAGGCAACAACCAGGAACACAGGATGTTCCCTGTGAACATCAAGAAACACTTTTTCCACTGGGATTATGACTGCGTTTTCCCAGAGAGGTTGTTGTGTCTCCCTCTTTGATGATAACTGACAGCTTGCCTGGACATGGTCCTGAGCATGATTTCCAGGTAGCCCTGCTTGAGGAGAGGGTTGGACCAGATGCCATCCAGAGATACCTTCCAACCTTAAGAATTCTGTGATGCTCTGAAGGCTCACCAATTGTTGATCAGTTTTCCCACTGTGCTCAATCTCAGATTTTCTCACTGGAAGTAAAGGTAATAATGTGACTTACGCTGTCCATGAAGGGGTAACTATTTTATTCCCATGCCAATTTAAAGTAAGAAAGCTTGCGTCAGAATTAATGCCCTTGGAGTACTATTTATATTCACATATGGTTTGTTTATATATAGCATGACTGCTTAATTTTTTTTCTTACAGTACTGTCTGGGTGTTAATTGGTTTTGTACATTTCTCAATGTAGAATTTGATCGTCATGAAATCCAGATCTATGAAGAAGTAGCCAAAATGCCTCCTTTTCAGAGGAAAACGTTGGTCTTAATTGGGGCCCAAGGAGTGGGACGAAGAAGTTTGAAGAACAGGTTTATAGTACTGAATCCTACTAGGTTTGGAACCACAGTGCCATGTAAGTTGCCAGCACTCCTATTGTAGTATTGTACTATGAGTCTGATTATCTGGAAAATACCTGATGTTTATCCCAGTGATTCAGGGTAGGAGGAATTTTGTCAGAATATGAAAGTTATGTAGCATGGGAAAACAAAAGGTTCTTCATCTTCTCAGGCAACAGAGCTAACATATGATGACAGTGAAAATATTTGTCACTACCAGTTAAATGTTACTGATGGTGCAATAAAACAACTTTGTATGTGCAGTGTTTCAGTCTGCTAGGTTTCTTCAGTGCTGGTCACCATCAGTTACTGAGAGGATTCTAGAATTTCCTAACACTCTTCTGTAATGAACAGCCAGTGGAGTTTCTCAGGTGTGCCATGGAGTTTTCCATCTGTAGAAGCATCCTTGGCATTATAAATTGTTTCTTTAGTATCAGAAATGTAGGGAAAAGCAACACTTCCAATAAAACTGAAGTGTGTGTGGTCTCCAAGATTTGTATGATACTGTTATGTCTTAATACATCTAGCCTCAAGCACATGGTCTTTCTTATTTTCTTTCTGTCCCTATCAACTTCAGAAAAACCCCTCCTCTCTTCCTGAAGCATTGTTTTCTTGCCTTCTTTCCAGAAGGTTACTTTGCTGATCCGCAAGATCTTTATTTCTTTAATGCCCCCTCCTGTTTGCTGTCCAGAGACATCCACCCAAGCCTCATTATTATTCTCCTTCCAGCTGCTTTTCAGCATTTCAAACCCACTCTTTTCCCTTCAGTTCTCAGTGGGCAACAAGTAGATCTGATAACGGGGAGGAGGGAGAGGTCTGAAAGATATATTGTGGAACATGAGAGAACTGGTCTGTCTTGTTTGCTGAATCTCTCTAATGCCAAAACTGGCACTTAGAATTGCTATGTGTAACTGACAAGAAGTTTGACTTCTAAGTGTTAATTTTGTATAAGAAATCCTCCTCTGGGAATCTTACTATTTCATACTGGCAAAATAGGAAGAAACTTTTTACTACCTATAAAATTCCTTATTCCCTTTTTAAAAAGCCTTCAGAATTATTGTTTTCCCTAAAATACTATATAGATATTTAAATATATGTAAGTAATGCAACACAGTGTTAAAATGCTTTTACTTGGAGCTCTTGAGCACCCTTTAAGGGCATTAAATTCCAATTTAGCAATCTGACAATCTAATCATGCACATGCAGTACACAGTTTATTGTATATGGAGTCTTCACTGTATGTATCTCCTCTCTCTGTCTTCCTCCCCCCATATATATGTGTTACATCTAAACGTACATATACTGTTGTATGCTATAAACTGGTAAAGCTCATTCTTCAAAATTTGTCTCATACTGCTATTATTTTTTAATTGTATTAACCATTCCAGTATTAATCTTTGTGTAGAATATTGGCTAAAGCCTAGATGTTCTAGTAATTTGTTTATTGCTTTACTACTAGCAGCTTCAGAAGATCATTTCAACCAAGTTTTCAATAATAACAAAGCTGATAGGAATTACTGGAAGGGGGCGAATGCTTTCCACTTGTATCACCAAGTTGCACCAAGTGATGGTTGTCACCCAGTGGTGATACAAGTATTACAAAGGGAACCACTCACTGGAGCACTTAATATATTTTAGAGTTCAAGTCTGATTAAATGCAAAGAACGGATAAATAACATGGTGTTAGGACAGTGAAGTTGGTAATAACCTGATACTTCTATTTTATTTACTTTCTTTTCACTTTCTTGCTTAAATAACACGTGCACTGCACAGTATGGCCAATACCCAAGAGAGCTGCTAATGTTTTACTTAAAAATTGGCTTTAATCTCTGCAGTGAATTCACCTTCCTTCAAAGGGTAAGTTGTCCCAGAAAGCAACATTAGCTCGTCTCCATTCATTTTCTGCTGCAGTGGCTGTGTTTCTTCTGATATTTAAGTTAATTTTCTTTATAGCTAGCTCAGGTAATTCTGCCCTGAGTAACAGGGCAAATACAGTGAGCGAAGTTATGTGCTGAGGCTTGGGGGGGCAGGACAGTGCAGATTTTGATGTGTGCTCAGTTATTTTCAGAAGTATATTTGGCATTTGACAGTTAAACTTTCATCTGATTCTGAGTCACTTTAATATTATATTAAGTGAATAATTCAGAAGATGACATTAATGAGTATTGTATATGGTGTGAAGGAGTAATACAAAGGAAATAGGCAAATGGTAAGCAACATATAGGAAAAAAATAGAAATAAAGGGAACAGGAGGGGCTGTGCTGTTTTGAAACTTACATCAGAATAATTAATTGTATATGGAACAATTATAGTTGTATGTTAATATGTATTTTACTTTCCCTAACAGGCAATCCAGCCTCATATTTGTATTCCAAATGCAAAAATAAAACATTCAATTTGTATTTTAAATTTGTTGTTTAGTTACCTCACGAAAGCCCAGGGATGATGAAAAAGATGGGCAAGCGTACAGATTCGTGTCACGAGCTGAAATGGAGATGGATATTAAAGCTGGCAGATATTTAGAGCATGGAGAATATGAAGGAAATCTTTATGGCACAAAAATTGATTCCATCCTTGAAGTTGTTCAGACAGGAAGGACCTGCATCTTGGACGTGAATCCACAGGTATATCATTCATAACGCTACACTGCAAGTGTAGGATTGTAGTGTTGAAGTGGTGTGCCTTTAAATTTGAAGTCTTCTTATGTGGTTTGAAGATTACAGTATCAACTGGATTCTTGCGTTTGTGGCACTTAGTTGGAATGAGTTAGGTGGAAAAAAGCCAACAAGGATTCTGCTTAGAATGGGAGGCTTACAGAGTCATAAATAATCTTTTTAGCCAAGGAAAGAATGATGTTGAGCGTTTCAAAAAGCAGTGTAGGAGTTTCTGAAATAGAAATAGGAATCTTCACTTATGTGTTTCTGCCTATTGTAACAGACTAGTTCTGCAGTGCCCCTTAAGTAACGGTGATGTGTGGTGAGTCATTCTCAAACTTCGGGGTTTTTTTTAATTCTTCTTTGCTTCTAGGCCCTGAAAATACTGAGGACTTCTGAATTCATGCCCTATGTGGTGTTTATTGCTGCTCCGGAGTTGGAGACTCTGCGTGCTATGCACAAGGCTGTGGTAGATGCTGGAATTACAACCAAACTTCTCACTGTAAGCAGATTACTTCACATTTAGTTTGCTCTGAACAAGATGTTCTGATATTATTATTTTTGGATTTTACCTTTCATTTTAGGTAGAATTTGTTCTGCAATGAATGTCTTTAAGAAAAGTAAGGCAAGGCTTTTGCTGATTACTTAGTAGAAGTTAATCAAGTACTATGTGTAAGGCAGATTGCTTATTTCTTAAAAATAGACCCCTTACAGAAAAGCGTTGATTACAAAAATTACTCATAATGTGTTCTTTGTGAAGTGTCACCTTTGATTATTTGCAGCAAATGGGAGATATTTGATGGTGGGAGTTGTTCTTTTATGTAAATGACTTTCCTTTACTTTCCACATCTTTCTCCCAAAAGAAGTTTTCTTTGGGTTTGTCTTGTAATGTAGGTGTGCTTTAAAAATGCAGTCTGTAATCCTTAGGAAAGATACTGCAGCCTACGTAAAGAAAACAAACACCCACAAAAAAAACCAACAAACAACAGAATGCAACTAGGCCTTGTTTCCACTGCTGCAGCAGCACATGCTGCACTGAGAATGCCTGGGAGCTGCTGGAACAGGAACTGTTGAACAGCTTCTCTTCCCTTTGAGTTCCTTGGATTTGTTATGTAAAGTGAACTGGCACATTTTATTCCTTAGATCTTCTCTCCTTTTCTGAGACACTGTGTGTAGTGGAGAGAAATGAGACATGCTTCCTTGGTGCAGCAAATTATAAATACTCTATATGGACATGAATTTACCAGCTGCAGGACCAAAGCTAAAAAGCCAGACTGAGCAGTTAAGGAGGAGTACCGCTTCCTGAACTGAGAAAAGCCATGGTTAGCTGGCAGCTCACAATACTGCTGCAGCTTAGTAACAATATCTTGTATAATGCTGACAAGGCATTCAGAGCAATAAAAAACAGGCTGGTGGTTTAATTTCCACTAAATGAATATGGGATTTTTAGTCTTACTTCCTTTTTTTTTTTTTTCCCCTTAATTTCTTCTTTCCTTCTTTTCAAACCTGTGAGATCACATTCTCTTAACCACATCAGAGATTGTCACTCCTAGTTGTGAATTCTGGCTATTACAGATTCTAGTATCTATGTGGATGCTCTGCCTTTCCTCCCTGCTCCATGTGAACCCTGAATTTTGCAATGCATCTACAAGGATGATGATAGAGGGCTGGAGCACCTCTGCTATGGAGACAGGCTGAGAGAGTTGGCATGGTTCAGTCTGGAGAAGAGAAGGCTCTGGGGAGACCTTAGAGCAGCTTCTAGTACCTAAAAGGGGCCTACAAGAGATCTGGAGAGGGCGTGTAGCGACAGGACAAGGGGGAATGGTTTTAAACTGACAGAGGATAGGTTTAAATTAGACATTAAGAAGAAGCTCTTTACTGTGAGGGTGATGAGACGCTGGCACAGGGTGCCCAGAGAAGCTGTGGCTGCCCCGTCCCTGACAGTGTTTGAGGCCAGGTTGGATGGGGCTTGGAGCAACCTGCTGTAGTGGAAGGTGTCCCTGCCTGTGGCAGGGGGTTAGAACTGGATGAGCTTGAAGGTCTCTTCCAACCCAAACCATCCTGTGATTCTGTGTTAAGAAGGCAAGGTTAAAACTGTCCAGACAAGTATAAAAATAATTCCCTACACTTTCTAATATTTGATTCCCTAAGGCACATACTTGCCTCTCTTGTCCTTATGAATAAAGAGTATAGTTACATTTTAAATGTACATTTATGTATCTTTATGCATTCTAGATTGTATCTGTACTCATGTGGATAAAGAGTAGGATTTTCCATTTCATCTTTGTGTGCTTCCTGAACAAGTGAAAAACAAATGCCATTTGTATTATTATGTTAAGTTTATGTTATTATATTAAGTATTATGTTCTGCTTGCTAGTGGGTCTGTCTACATTATTTCTAGCATCCTAAACCATTCTATTGCAAAAATTGTGGCTGTTGCGGTGATACGTTTGCTCATCTCCTTCATTTACTGGGAAGGAGAGGCTGTTCAGAAGCTTACTTTTTCATTTTGCCTTTTCTGTTTACAACTGTATCAGGACATGAACATTTTAAAAGAAATACTGTCAAGGGGACAAATCTCAGAACAGCTTAGGAAAAAAATGGCTTTTGTGCAGAAGTGCAGAGGAATTTTCTAATGTAGGACTAATGGAACATAAAAAAGTGCTCAGTGACAGTACTTCATGAAGGCTTTGTAATGTAGGGATATAAAGTCCGTGTGTAGCTCATGTCAGAACTTAAACAATGCAGCAGTAGTTCACAAATCAGGATCTGACATCAGGTGAGCAAGGCTGAAATGTAGCCTCTAAAAGCTGTAGGTATTCTAGAGTTTTTTTCTACTAGAAATGTATCTTTCAATGTCTTTTAACTTCCCACTAATTTAAATTTTTGACTTTTTTTGTGCTTTCCTTGGAAATAAAATGCACAAATATATCTACATAACTGATGGACTCAGTCATTCCTAAAGCATCACTTTCATTCTGATTGAATGTCAGTTGCAGATACAAACTGATGTGCATCATTCATGTGTGTCTGTTGACGTGCTTAAGAATTGCCAGATTTGCAAACATTTGGTTGTCATATTTAACATTATTGGCACAGCTCGTAACTTTTTCAACCCTTTCAATATGTTTTAGCTGAAGTTCTGTGTGGATTTACTGTAAATGAAGACTTACTTAACTATTTTTAAATATATTCTTTAAGTAGTCAGTTGTAGGTAATGAAAGGATACTTCTTGCATGTTTATAAGGATTCACCAAGGTTTATGTTCTCAGTAACCTGTAAAACCTGCTTGATGATCATGGAGGTCTTTTCCAACCTGGTTGAATTCTCTGATCTCTTCACCAGGACACTGATTTGAAGAAAACAGTGGATGAAAGTGCACGGATCCAGAGAGCATACAACCACTATTTTGATCTGACCATTGTAAATGACAACCTAGACAAAGCCTTCGAGAAGCTGCAGACTGCTATCGAGAGGCTGAGGCTGGAACCGCAGTGGGTCCCAATTAGTTGGGTATATTGAGGTTTCCCAGGAGGAGCTCAAGTAACAAATTCAGCTGCAGCAAGACGCTGATGCGATGTGTAGATACCGGCGATGACTACGGCACCTGTGCATTTTTACTCTGTGTATATTCCAAAGTACACTGTTCTGAATTTTTATAGAAATGCTGAAGGGAAAGTGTACTTAAATATGTAATTTATTTTAATTTTTCTAACTTTTTACAGGTAACCTTTCTATTCATATCACATGAAGGAAATGCGTTTAAGCATTTTTTCTATGTTTTGATTTCGTACCTTTGCCTTTTTCATCTAAGAAACTTTCAGTCGTTCACTTCAACACTTACATCTTGGTCTTACATTTTCACTGTGATTAAAAAAAGGATACTTGAAATAATATTTTGTAAACCTTGTTAACGTCAGTGTTCAACCAGTCAAAAGTCTATAGCTCTTATTAGGAAAGAACTCTATAATTTCTTTGGTTTTTTTTTTTCCTTATAAAATAATAACTTCATGGGAGCAGAATTTTAAGTATTAAAAGCAGCGACAAACACACAGCTCCATTGCTCCAGCTTCTTTCCGCTTAATGTTGGTGCATTCTTGATGTTTCACAAATTCTTTCTGTCTCTTGATTTTGACAACTGTTGTGTAGGTTCCCTTACACGCGTCTCTTCAAATAACGTAAAGCAATACCTTGCATGCTGCTTATGAGGCCGTTTTGGAGAGCCAGCCTGTTAGCCTGTTGTGGCTGAAGGACTGATACTAGAAAGCTGGTACACAGGGTAACTCCATGCAATTGGAATAATGGGGAAGTAGCCTGGGAGAGAACCTGGTAATGTGGAGCCTTGTAGAGTGAAGCTTAACATTTAGGAGTATTTATTCACATTGTGAAAACACACTGCTTAAAAAAAGGGGGGGCATTTTCTTTTCTTAGGACATTGTTTGATATTTGTATGGTGATCTTTGGCTTAATTTTCTGTGCTAGCCAGCTGGGTTCTATATTTTGGAATATTTGTATGTGATGAACTGCTGTATTTTTAGGAGCGTGATGTAGTAGAGTTTCTGTGCTTTTTGTTGCATTGGTTTTAATTGCATTTTTAACGAGCTAGTTTGTGAATTGGAAGCTTACTGCTAAAAAGCAATGATGTTGTTTGTACCTTTTTGTTTTACAACATACTTCCTTTTGTTAATGACAGTTCTTCCCTTAGTAGGCTCATTGATACAATTCACATTAGGCTCAAGTTCATTGATCAAAACTTACGCTGATGTAAATTTCTGCTTAATAAGAACAAAATGAAAATGTAGCTCATTGCTAAGACTAGCTCTTTTTGTGACCCTGTTTTATATTGTAATGTCAGCTGTTGTATATAGTAACATTCACCATCACTTACCAGATTAGGTGTCTGAACTGAAGTCATCTATCTGTTTTAATTTCTCTTCCATCTGGTGACAGGCACCTGGCTTCTGACTTCTTTCTCAACACCAAAGTGTGACATGGAATGCTATTGAAAGGCAACTTCATCAGAACTATTTCTGAAGGAAAAGAGGCTTAGACATTGTAAACCAGTGTTGCTTCCTGGGGCTTTTAAAGACTTATGTGCACAAGGAAAAGAAAAATGGAGTAGATGCAGTATTGGAAAAGTGTCAATCTCAAACACCCCTCCAGACAAACACCCGTACACTACAGGTGATTTTTGCAAAGCCTATGAAGTTGGTTGCTGCGGGGTAAAAAGGGCAAGGAGGGCTTGAGATCTGTGTGTGTGGAAAACATTAGTTGAAGCTGTTTATAGCACAGGTAATCCTTGTGGCTCCTGGTACTGAGATCTTGGTCTTTCAGAGGGGATGAAATTCTCTGAGGAAAACTTTGTTTTATTGTTACATTTTTCAGGATGTGTTTTCCTCTGGTTTTGTTTAAGTTTGGCAAAGCTTTTAAATGTGGCACCAGCATGAGACTTTTCCTTTCCCAGGAGACATGTTCTGTGATCCTATCACTCAGAGGCTGCTTTGAGAAATGGATTGAGTGTTGTATGTAGCAGCAACGATAGCAAAGCCATTGCATGACTAATGATTTGCTCTTGGCACTATATGCTAGACGTGACTAAACTGTGTTTATTTACTGTGGAATAGGAGAGCTACGTATGCTGTAAATAGGATGTGCTGTCTGGACAGATACGATGCCTTTTACGTTACGAGTTAGAAAATACTCTATATGTGATGCCAAAAGTGGGCTGAGCTCACTCTTCCCTAATGAACAGAATGATAAGATTCCTCTGTTTCCACACCGTAGTACTTTGTATTGCAACTATCACTTATTTTCATCCCTTTTTTCCATAAATTTACTTAACCAGATGAAACACATGAAACATGGGCACCAAGGTTTAGTTAGGAAAACCCCTCTGCTCCTTCTGTTTCCATCCCAGGGAGAATATTGTCACAAGAGCCTCCCTAGTCAGCCATCTCCAACCAGCCATGTATTTGTTAAAAACTAAAGCTTTAGCTTTTGCTGCAGGTTCCCAGTGTTTCAAAATCCAGCAGTTAGCAGAGCGGAGCCTAGTGGCTGACCATTTGGTGGTGGTAGTGTAGATGCTATTGGGAAGTACCATTCTGAAGCAATAGGAGAAGATGGCTTGCTTAGGTTGCAGGCAAAGATCATATCAAAGTGTCTGCAGGTTTTAACTGGATGTCCACATGCAGGTTGTAAGGGGAAAATCCTCACCTAAACATCACATTCCTTGCATGTATCCATTAAACCTTGAAAAGTGGGAGTTCACATTGGCAGTTTATAATGTTGGGGGGGGGAAAGGGTTGGTTTTTTTGTGGTGGTAGGTTGTGGTTTGGTTTGGTTTTCAGCAAGATCAGATTTTCATCAGGTATTCTGCTTCCTTTGTCACTACCTGGTGGGATGACTAGAATGAGAATTAATTTAAAACAGAGCATCCTTGGAGGTTCTTAGAATGCTGGTGCCGTTTCAGGCATCTACACAACAGGCAGGGTACGCTAGAGCAGGTGTTAGAGATCTGTGCATTGTGCAGTTAGGAGAGAAAGATACTGAAAGGCTGACTTTGAGCAAAGGACAATTATTTCATGTAAGAGCTGTCTGAAGTGTTTTGGAGGAGTTAAAATAATTTCATGTATATCATTCCGCACTAAGCATTCATTTTCCAGATGCGAAGCAGGAGACCTTTTTAGGTTGACTGTTAATGATAACAATAGGTGTGTCTGAGCGAGGTGAAGATGCTGCGAAACATTTAAGATATGTGGTATGTATCACAAGATAAATATTTCAGTAGTTTAGAGAAGTAAATTATCAAATAGTTGTCTGTGTATATGTATGTATGTGGATGGTAAAACAAAAAATGCTCATGTCTGTTACCACATTACAAAGCTACCACGACTTAACCCAGAAATGTTACCTGCATGTGAGACTTTAGAACAGGTACACTTCTCTACCTGGTTTATTGTGTTTACTAATGTATATTTTTCTAAATATACAGATATTTCAATCTAAAAATTCTATATTTACCTGTAATTTCTATCTGTTTTGGACAGTGCATGAGGTGCTGTAAAATTCTGTACATATAGACTGATAGAAGAAATGCTGTAGTTGCCCTGTAAACGAAGAGTTTCACATAAAAGTACAGTTGGTATGCCAAGACCCGTAAGTTATTTCCTTAAATGCATCAAAAATTCCCTCAAGTGTGCACCAGTCCCAGCTTCGATGTAAATACTTCGGTGCATGTGTACCCAAGTGATTTCCTTGCCGTCTCTAAAAGTTACACTTACAGGTCTGCTTTAGGTTCTACATCATGTGGCAAGATGCAGTCAAAGTTTAGTGGGATAGCTATAATGGCATGTGGCATCTTGCACAGATTTCTAAGGGTCTTGTCTTTGGAGAAGTTCTGCAAACAGCAAACGAAGGTAAAATCGGAGCAGAACCACAGACCCCAACAGAGGCAAGGGAAATCAGATTTGTAACCCATGCAGTATCCTTAATTTGTGCCATGTTCTCCCATCGGGGCAGCTCTGTGTACTTGGATGTACAAAAGCTTTGTGAGGCAGGATGGCAGATCAGCTCATCACTTCTGAACCTGTATTTATATTAAACTGTCACATCTTGGATAGGCTCAAAATATGACCCTTTGTTCTTGAGCTTCTGTTACAATTCTAATTCATTGCATCTTTTGAAATCTTACCTAAATACTTGCTGTATAGATTGCCTCAGTATTCAGGAAGTCATCTGGGTTTGGTTTGGTTTTATTTTGAGGCAGGTGATTCAGAATAAGTTTTTTTTCTCTTTGAAATGCAGACCACTCCTGGCTAGGTTCCCCTTAGAGCCAAGCTTGCCTCTCCACTGTGCTTAAGGACCAGTGGAGAGCGATCACATAGAAAGCACCACTCCAGAAAGGGGGAGATGTGGGTTATTGTCTGTTCTTATGCAGGAGCTTGCAGCTTCACTCAGACAAGCTTTGAGGCAGCTGCTGTTTCTTGGTACATCCATCATGCCTACCACGGCAGACTCCCTGCTGCTCGCTGCGCCTTTAGGTGCAGCTCTCAGCCCAACTACAGGCGGAGGTTGTCTGCACCTACCATGTAGAGATGTACAGGCCCTTTGTTTCATGCAGGGTTTCTTGCCTCACCCAGATTCCCAAGAGGTAGTGCAGTTATTGTTATTGCCAAACTTATGATACCACCTGTGCTGAGGCAGTCGTTGATGCTGAGGTAGTGGTTGTTAGAGCGAGGGGCTGGTAGCTTGCTCAGCCTCTTGCCTTAAATACCCCTCCAGCTGACAGTCACCAACTGATTTTCTTTCTAGGTTTCTCTTACAGGCCTAGTCTTCTTGCTTTTCTGTGTATTTAACAGCTCACTGCTGGGAACAGTCTGGGATTCTCAATGTGTGTCTTGTAGAGGAAATAGTCAAAACGAACACTGATATGTAAGACTGGTATAACTTATTGCTAAGTAACTTACTCTATTAAGTAAGTTAAGAATTAACAGTAAGTTAAGTAATAAGTAGAGTGAAAGCACAGCTAAACCAATTTTCAGAGGCAGCTTTGGTTTCCAAACATTGCAGCTGTGTTTATATGCACGTGCACAAAAACATACGTACATAAAATGTAGGGGTAAGTACCACCAGTACTTCAGGGAGCATCTGCAAATTAACCTTAATCCTCCACGGTGGGGTGCTTCTCCTCAGACTATCACATTCTAAGCTGCTGACCTCTCAACTCATTTGCAGTTGGTGCCACAGCTGGAATTTACCTGTAGGGGCTTAGAAACAAACTCCAGCCCAGTGAAGGCTGTTCAGCAGTTTCACATCCACATGTAATTTGTTTTTTTTTTTCCCAGCACGTTTGCAGCAATGTTCTTATTTTACAGAATAAATTACGCTTGAAGCATAGGTGAATTTTGGTCTCGGAACCCTTTTATCATGCTACTTGGTATGGAGATCCCACTGCTGCTAGGGCAGTGGTTGGCTGTGGTTACTGACAGACATGCCAGGCTAACGGTGTCTTGGCAACACATCCTCCCATTTAGCCTTGTCCTTGTAGTATCATGAGCTTGTCCAGCTTTGACCTCATCCAATTTTTACTCCATAAGTAGCCAACATTTACTTGGAATACAGTAAAATTACTTCCAGAAACCCAAATTACTTCTCCATTATTTGACCTCTTATATGATACTGAGCATAGAGCAAAATGCTTCATGCAGTGCTGGGGTGGGCGGGGGTGCAGAAGTGCACAGTTGCATTGCTGCCTGCAAAAAAATGGATTGTGTTTGGGCTGATTGCTGTGGTTTAGGTTCTGTACACAACTACAGATGGAAATAACTGCTGAAATGTACTCTTCCCCCTTTGAAAATGCCAGTTGGCATTCCTTCCCCTCCCTTCTGCCACGCCACAGCTTGCCTGTGTGTCACATTTGTGCCCTGTGGTCCAAGGACATCTCTCCTGCTCCATACTGGGCCAAGAGCTGTAAAATCCCAGTGAAGTGCTTGGATTTCCATGGCTATTAGCAGTCTGTCACCAAGCTTTTCCTTACCACGCCTCTTCTCCCACCTGGCTTTGCCTGGTGGAAGCTCTTGTGTTGTGTTCTCTTTCTGCAGGACATTAAACTGGATTAGACACTTGTTAAACTTTAAAAACTGCTTTGCTGGATAGAAAACATCCTACAGAAAATAAACCCTTAGCTATTAGCTAAACTTTCTAATGTAAACCTGACACTGATGTAGCACCTAGGTGTGTTTTGAGTCCACAGTGTGGAGCAGGCCATGGGCACGCGTTTGCATTCTGACCTCATGTGCCAGAGACAGCTACTGCATAGGGCATTTTTAAATTGGGATTTATTTTCTAACCCCCCCCGTCTTTTTCACAGCTAATATTTTCACAAGTAACACAGCCAAACATAAAAATGTTAATGTACAAATGATGAGAGTCTGTTAACTCCCAACAAATATTTTTGTATATAATAAAGATTTAATATTGAAAAAAAATCCCATAATTGGCTTTTTTCTGATGACTGGTTTTTGTCGTAACCTGAATTACAGCCAAATAAGCCATCAAGAGGCAGCCTGCACACATCTGCCTTTTATCTGCATCTCCTCCTTTACTGATGAAAACTGGCTCATACAACATCTCCCCAAGCTCCCGTCTTATCTGAGGGCTGCAGCAGCTCTACTACCCTGTGACAGACCACAGCAGCCTCCTTGGCTGCAGCTGTGAGGACTCCCCAGCCCCAGAACCAACACCAGCCCCTCTCACCTCTGCTTTGTCAGCAACCTTTGTACCCCTCAGCCTCAACCTGTTCCATGGATTTAGCTGAAGCAAGAGACTAATCTGCATCTGAAAGCAAAGCAGCAGGAAACAAACACAACCTCTTTCAATGAAGTTTCTATAGAATACCTAGTGTTTGGGTTTGGGTTTCTTTTTTTATCTTCACACAAGTCCCCTCTGTTACCCACACACCACAGCATGCACACCCTGAAAGCAGTTATGTTGTACAGTGGACATCAAGCTCTTTAAGGAAGATCAAAGCACTACGTGGATGCCCGCAGATGCATCTGCCACCTCCATTCAAGGCCAAAGGCATGACTGAAATCCCCAAAAGAACAACAAAATTACGTGCATGAGGTTGTAAGTTATTCTATTGTTTTGACATAATATGTTGATAAATTAGTTACAGAGGCAACTTTTGAACAGTGATTAGCAAAAGACATTCACACAAACACATCCTCCTGGAAGCAGAGTAATGTGCTTCCATGCTCCTGAAAGCTGCTTCCAGATAGAGACACCAGTGCAAGGTTTGGGCAACACCATCAGCTCCACTGACCAGATGAGACACAGGACGTGCAGCAGCCCAGCATGCCAGGGATCAGGCACTCTCAGGGTATGGAAAGGGACTGTAGGGCTTTTTTGCAAAGTCACTTCCCCAGGGAAAGCTGAACTGACGGGTCAGGCTTAGACAATCTGCTCCAGAGCATGCGGGAATCGAGCAGAAAGCTGACGGCAGGACTTAAGCCTCCAGCTCAGCTGCAGGGGTTGGTTACTGGTCACCTCCACGCACGCACAGCTGCCTGCTTGTCTGTCAGCTGTCTCAGTCTTGCCTGGAAGCACTGACATTCCACTTACCTGGAACATCACCTTCCCAAGCCCATATTTACAGTGGTCTCGACTGCATTTGTCCCATCCACATCATTACAAAAAAATTACAATGAAAAAAGGGCAAAAGAGCTCCAAGCCCAACAGCCCTGGGCGGCTGTACCAACACTTTGCTTTTAGTCAAACAATCAAAACATCTGCACTTAAAACGTCACACGGGTAAAATGATCATTTCTGTGGCATTTGCGCACACTGAAAGGCACCGCGGTGCCTCAAAGAGAACGTTCAGGACACAACTTAAACAGCAGAAACTTGCTGAGGTGAGTAAAAACTTCCTGGAAAACCAAAATGCTGAACAGAGGCACAAAGCCCCAAAGTGCTCTTCCTTTTGGAAAAAGGTTTATTTCCTGCAGTGCAATTCACATCCGTAAAGCCAAACTACACCGAATTACCGAAACCTTAATCAAGTACCTCTTTGAGAGCCCTCCACTCTGCTTGCTCCGGAGTAAAGGCATTCCCTACATCAAGTCCTAAGTGAGCAAAGCAGCTGCTGCATTGCAGACCCCAGCCTTCCACAGCCTGCTGGTTTGCTTGCTTACACAAAGCAGTTTGTACCGCACAGTCTTCTCCCATGCATATAAACGCAAACAATCAGGTTCTAAAGCCCCACAGATGTGACTCGACCAGAACAGCTACATTCAATTCCTGTTCCAGGCTTGTCTTTTCTGATCCTCCACCCCTTATTTCTGCATTTCCCACTGCAGCCACAGGTCTCAGTGAAGCTGCGGAGCAGCAGCAGCGCGCCTGAGGCAGTGCAGAGTGCTCACCCCGGGCCTGCAGAGCCCAGCCTGGCCACCATAACCCCTGCCCAGATTGTCCTATGCACTCAACCCAGTGGCTCTACTCCTAGCTCAAACACACCAACACTACACTGCAGAGCTACAGAAGAACAGGCTGGAGCAATAATGCAGCGAAACTCCTACATATTCCCACCTAAAGCAGAAAACCCATACAATGCAACATAAAGAACCAGTGGGAAGAATCTAGGTTCTTTCATAGTTACAGCTTTCACAGAAGACTCTGTCATTTCCAAACGAATGTTTGATGAAGTAAACAGCCTTTGCACCACATCAAATCTTCCTCTGTCCGTGAGAGTCGCCACCAAAGGACTGCTCAGCACCACAGTGCCATCAGCTGCAGCGATGTTTGGCTGTGTTTATGAGAGAGAGCAAAACACAGAGATGTCAAAAACGTTTTCCAAGCAGGGCCGCTCCTGCCATTACACAGCTCACCGGAGAGCTTACAAGGCAGCAGGAAAAGGGCAAGATTCCCTTTAGTGTTAGCCTTGACAAGTACAATGTACTCATCCGGAACCAAAGCTCTATGGCACCCTTTAAGGAGAAACATCTCTTCTACAGTGCCATTTCTACAGTTCAACCTCACTGCAAGTCCCAGAAATCACAGAATGGTCTGGAAGGGACCTTAAAGCTCATGCAGTTCCAAACACTTGCCATGGGCAGGGACACCTTCCACTGGACCAGGTTGCCCCAAGCCCTGTCCAACCTGGCCTTGATTTCCTTAAAGACGCAAACATTTCCCCCCCCCCCCCACCATCACTGAAGATCACACTGAGCTCTCGCTCTGAGCAAACAGCAGCACTCCTGCACTTGCATATTTACTGGTGTTTACTATTATTTTTGTTAGTGAGCTTAAAAAGCCTAAAGAAAACCCCTGTGCTGTTCTTTCAGCAGTTGCAATGAATGGCCTCAGAATTTAGGAACGTCAGAATTTGCCATGGCCAAGCACTGGTGCTACGGAAGGAAAACTGATTTCCAAGGGCAGGTGATTACTGTCACCAAGACTTTAAAGCAGGCTAGTGAGACTATTAGTATATTGAAAGCTGAGCTTAAGTTACAATTTTCTTTTGCTCACAGCCCATGAAATCTCCCAAATACAGAAATGTTTCAGAGGTTTGGGATTCCATCTGCAGTAAAAAAACCTGCATCGCTTGCCACTGTCAGACTGGCCTTGCCAAAGCAATGCTTACAGCCGAAATCTGCACTGGAGCTTAACATCTTCTTTATTGGGCTACAAACATGATAAAGGCAGAGGACAGAGTCATTACTGCTGCTGGGGCCCACAGAGTCACAATTTGATTACTCACCAAACAACACAACGCTGGAACCACCTGAAGATCACAGCAGGCACGCAGCAGGACAAGAGTACAACCAGGCAGCTCTGTGGAGGAAACAATACAAGAGGAGGACTGTCTCCAGCGAACACTGCACCAGGCTGGCTGCTGGAAAGGGTTTTCTTAACACTGAGCTCCGAGATGGAGTTTTCCTGCTGAGCAAAGACAGGTGAGTTGTGTTTTTGGGGCCCATCTGCACATACAGCACCTTGTGAAATGGATGCTGGAGAGCAAAGCGATTCAGTGCTGAGGACAGTTGTCATAACTGCTCTGCTGGATGCTTGGAAAAAGCTGATCCAGCCCTTTCCTGCCAGCTTCTGAGACTGCGGAATAACATGGGATGGGGGATGGGGGATGGGTAGGTACAAGCCCACACTGACTATCTCTGCCCTTGAGAAAGGGCAGCTTGTAGGAAAGGGGATTTCCTCCCCATCATTCTTGTCTCATCCATAAGCATCTCCCAGTGTTCACTCTGAGCCTGCAGGCTGGATGAATTATTTAGGCCTTGAATAAAACAAGAACCTCTGCTCTCAAAACCTGTACGAGATGCTGACTTCAGCAAAAACACATCTGAGAAGGAATTACACAGCTGACACTGTGCTGGGGCAGGGCGACAGACTAAATGATCCCTGCGGTGCCCTTCAACTCAGAGGCTGTAAATCCTACTAGAAGCAACAGGCATAAACTAGCTTTGGTTCTTGATCCAGCCACATTAACAATGCCTGGACTTCAGCATCAGACATTATGTCCAAAGCCAGGTGATAATGCAACACGCTCAATTAACTGCCCCCTTCTGTTAATAGCATCTGACAAGCGTTACCACATCAGCAGGTTTCTGTTTTCTATTTCTTTTCTGTCTCCACAAATGAGTTAAGCTTTTCTACCCGGGTTCAGTGCATAAATGGATGCACACTGACATTTTGCTGCACACTACCACGTCTAACTAATACCACACTGGACTTCCCTTCGTTATCTTAATGTCAGGAAATTCTTTATATATGAGAGAGAGGAGAAAAAGCCAGGAAAGTCTGTCCTGGACTTTGCAGGTAGCTTTTAATTAACACTGTGGTGCCAATGAGCTTGTGAGGATGGCATTTGTTTGACATTTGTGTTTAATCTCCTGTTCCAGGAGCTGCAAAACAACCCTCTAATTGCAGTGTCTCACGTTAAATGCACTTCTGCTAAATACAGTTTGCACCTCACCAATATACGCTGTGACACAGAAGACAACTCCCGATTTGTGTTTCTCAGCATTTAGGTGGGAACAGCTCCGTACGCTGTAGGAACAGGAATTAGCTGCCAAACTGGAAGTGCCCGCACTCAGAGGAAAACAGAGTTAAGCCATCCTGGAGGAATGTGTATTTTACAAGCAAAATCTGTCAATGATTGAGGGCTGAATTTAAGTGCCAGCCGAGAATGCTAAGCATGGTACACCAAACTCATAAAAAGCAAAGGGAACAAATGACAGCCACTCAGCTCATCAGCTGTTCGAAAGAAGCCATAAATGCTTTAACACAGAGGGAGCTTCTAAAAGGAAACTATGATTAAAAAATGTCCCTTCTCTTCATTCACAACATACCAGAGACAGCACTGATGAGAAGGTGAGCAGCTGAGAAGAGTTCTTCATCCTGAGGCTGGCACTTCTGCAACAACAGCTCCTTCTGCAACCTGCACCCTATGAGCTCTAACAAGTCCAGGAGGTCTCGTTGTTGTGCAGGTATTAACTCCTTCAGGTCTGGCTTGTCTCCCATGCAGATATCATCTACCTGGAAGCAAAAGAGTAAGTAAACTTCTAGAGGGAAAAGTTCCAGCAAAGGAGAATGCCAGCTCTATTCGGAAACTGCTTTTAGGGAACAAGTGGAAGCTTCTTTGTCTTACCACGTCCTCCAGGGCAGTCACCATTTCTTCACAGAGCAAGAGCTCACAAAGGGTTTTATATAAAGCTCTTCGCTTGTCTTCTGGCAGCTTCACAAAGGGCTGGAACTGAGCCTTCAGCCGTGACAGATCTTTCCCAAGAAAGAAGTAAAAAAGTAAAACTAAGTACTTCTGCACAAGTGCCAGTGAAAACAGTTAGCATTTCTGCTGTGTGTTTCATAAGCTCATTTATCACCACATCCTGACATCCTGATTTCCATCAGCACAAGTTATAAGGCAAGGCTGGAACACAGCCAATTCTATTTCCCAACCAAGCCAAGGAAGCATCAAGAAAGAGGAACAGCTACAAAGGATCAAGATTTTAGAATTCAGTATCTTAATGTTAACTGAACTAACCATATATTAAGTTTTTCACTTGAAAGTTCGTCTCCAGTAAAGTCTATTTATAAGGCAGAATGAAAACTTCTGCTCTTCACTTCTTAAATCTGTGGGTTAATATGAATTTAAAAGTCAAAGGTACAAGTTCACCCACAGAACTAAAAGTTCCTATTGCAATCCTCAGTTGTTACTGTCCTTGTATTTCATCAGGTACATCAAAGAATTACAACTCTTCACTCCTGACCCTGTCATTATTACAAAAATCAGGACAAAAATCTCTTGTTGATTGCAATACTGAATCCATGACAATAGATACAACAGCAGCACAAAAGAATTCACTTCTTTCCCCACAGCTCAACTATGACACTGAAACAAAATGTTCTGTGACATCAAATTACCGCTTTGCTGAAAAAAGTAAGTTTTCAAGTGCATAATGCCCACTGGAAGGCTGGGATGTGTTTTTCTGCATTCTAAAAACATGGACACACAGGCATTGTTAACCTTGTTTCAAAGAAACCTCCCTTCGTGCCACTCCGGTCAAGAAACACGCACTCTTTAAAGATGCCTTTTGTATCCAAAAATTACTTTACTGGAAAAACCAACCCAGCCTCAGGCAGATATTTGCTGGACCTGATGCAATCGTACATACAAAGAGCAGAAGAGGAAACCTACTTTAAATATCTTGAGTAGAAACAATATTTTTAGTTTTTTTTTTCCAGGAGACAGCTCAGGTTAATGAATGAAAAGAAATCTCCAAGCCTTGTAAGCAGGAAAGGTGCAAGCATATGTCAAAGCTAAACCAAACCAAACAGTGCATTCTTTCACAGATAACTGTTTTTTATATACACATGCAGACACAGTTATTCCTTTCCATTCTCCATGAGAGAATGAGAGAGTTTATTTCAGGACAACAAATACCTATTTTGGTCACAGCTGGTCCACTAAACAGCCGAAGGGTGAAATGCAGAGATAACAGAAGTGATGTTTGTCGTTAAAACCAGCTGTAAGAACTCTGCCAAGAACTGAAGAACAGTAAAGTGTGCTGAGGCCTTGATTTGTTTCCCCTTTTGTCAGTCCTCTGGTGACAAACTTGCCCCTTCCTCCCTCATGCCTACAATAAACAAGTTGTGCCTGTCCCATTATACCAGTTTGCCAATTGCCATTTAAATCACATTTTCATTTCATCAGCTGTAGTTCATACCAAAGATCTCTATAAAGCATCTCAGAAAACAATGAGGCAAAGTGAAGGGGGGAGATGCCTTTGTGATTTTTGAGACTTAAAATAACCTTTAACTGAGAGCATTTTCCAAATGATGGAGTATTTTCAGTGGCCCTTTCTGAATGAAATCATAAATCATCACTGATCTTACAGAGTTCATCTGGAATGTACGAGAACTGCCATTAACACCTGATTTGGTAAGATCATATTTATGACAAAGGGATTCAGGATGTTCCTAGGGAACAGTCCACTGCATATACCTACTGCAGCAGTAAATTCTTCCATTCTTTCAGTGTATTCCCTTAAGAGTTCTCGATAAGGGCTATTAAAACGAACTAACACAATTTCTTACCCACTATTGTACCAGATTATTTCCTCCTATCATGTCGCTTAACTCACTGTGATATAATAACGTAAAGCATTTCTGGTAATACCTTGTTTCAAGACACTTAAAGAAGCATCACTGGGAATGAGGTTTTTTGCCCCAGAGTACATCTCATTATCAACAGCATCTGGCTGATAGAGAAACAAAGCATCTCTGAATAGCGCTGAATGGGGACAAGTTGACCCTTCTGTGCTTTCTTTTTCAAAACCTCCTTGCTGTTCATCCAGCAGACAGAATTCTGTAATTAGAAATTCAATTGAAACAATAAAATTAATAAAATGCATAAGTAATTCCCGAGTGAGGTGCTAGCTTGCATTATCTAGTGTTCCTGTACATGATTTCTCCATGGCTCATCTCTTCTAGATGGAAAAAATGCCAGTGGCTGCTATGAACGTGAATTACTGAGCATTACTGCAGGCCCGATGTTTGGTATAGTGTGCACAGACAGATCTTGTGATGCAGCTCCAAAATGTGACTCCAGCTCATGGGAATTAAGGTACTGCAGACAGCAAGTAACATGAAAACTTCTCACTGACACTGTAAACCTGAATGTTGCATACAAGGGATTCAGGTATTCATGTTTCTGCCAAGTAAGAGATGTGCTGTAATGCTGGCTAAAGGGGCCACTCATGATGGAGATGTGAAAGCACTTTCTGAGTTTTATATGAACTCTGAGAGTCCCTCACAGAGCTGCTTCTGGTCATGAGGCTTACAGATTCCCCTTTCTCAGCCAAGCTACAGGTCCACCCTCAAATTCTCCAGATGAGTGGAAAATAGGGGGCTTTACGGAGATTTTAAAAGACTTCCCCCAGGCACGTTCACTCTGAAATATACTGTTGCTTTGCAGGAGCTTCACCCGGCTGGATTACCCTTCCTGCCTTGTCTTCATGTCATCCTGGCCTACCTGACCCAAACAGGACTCCCCATTTCCTTCCACCCCAATGCCAACCTGATGAGGCCAAGGGACAACTCAGGTACACAGGAAGCCTTTGTGAAAGTTATGCTGAGAAATCTGGAATATTGAGTTCTGTGCTCATGTGTTCAACATTGTGCCACAAAGACGCAGAATACAACCAAAGCCCTACACATATTTTGATCACCTTTTATCATCTCAAATGCAAGACCTGTAACTGTTCCCCTGTTCCTCTGTAGCAGGTCTGAGGAAATTGCAGAGAGGTTAACAAGAGAAACAATTTTAGAGTAACACCTGACAGCGCTGGTGAGGGAAAAAAGTAACTAATCAAACACAGTGCTCACACGTAGCAGGCACAAAACCTAAATATAACCTTCCTGCAGTTGCAAGAGTCTGTCTCACCAAATTAAGGACATTCAAAGCAGAAGAGAAAGCATGGAGAGCACTCCATCGGCAAAAGCTTTTCAAAGGGAGAGTACACAAAAAAAATCTCCACCACAGAGAAAGAAAGATGACAGAGGCCTTTAGTCTGCATAACCATTCACAGAGAAGAGTGAGCTAGAGGAGCAGAAAGCAATTAACACAACTTAAACAACTTCCCAAAGCAATGAGACCCCAGACAGCAGCTAAGGCACTGTATGGTGAACAAACTCATGTTACTTCCATTGATAATAACAAGGCTTTCACACGACCCCTGAAGGGAGGAGATAGTGCTAATAAACTACCTGCCCTCCTAAGGCAGATTGATGCTAGTAAGGGAAATCAATACACAGCATCATGAAAAGTTTTAGAAGATACAGACCCTGTTAAATCTCTGATAGGACTCAATTCAGAAGAAAATGTGAATGTTTTGTACTAGTAGGGCTGTTAATTAATTTTCTAGCTCATTAATTTTGTCATACTCTTAGAAAAAAGAGAATGGAAAATAAGCAGACAAAAAAAAAAATATACACACTACTGTGATGTCTTCTCTCTTGAATTCTATTATTCCCCTTGATGACCAACCTCCAGCAGCACAGTTAGATCTTGTTAGTTATTCAGAAACATTAACAAAAATGGATGAAAACCAGAGATGATCAATGAAAACAATCAAAGGCAAAGAGACTCCTTTGCTTGGAGAAGCTGAAAAGATTAGGACTGTTTAATTTGTAGTCATTTAAGAGGAAGCAAGTCGCATTTATAGCAATGAACAGAACAAAGCAAATCAGGGGGTACCGCTGTACCTTCTGTTTTGTAAAGCAAGAAAAAAAGGACTTCTAGGAAGACTTTAGAGACACAAAACTGCAAAGCCTGTAACAGGAACGACTTTTACATGTAGTGGAAAATTAGCTGTAGAAATCAAACAGAATGATTACAGGAAAAAATTACCATAAAGGGGTCAGAAAAGGATTAGACCTCTTTTTATTTCTTTTTCATGTCTTTAGAAAAATGTCCACTCACATTAGCCTTAAATTTTTATATACCACTTTTTCTTAAAGGATAACCCACATGCTGTCAGTGGCAAAGGAAAGGAAGCAGAAAAACACCTTAATACACCTTATTCTGTAATTATCTGAGAAGAGAATCACATTATGCTACGACGTGCAACTGGTCACTTTCAGTCTCATGTGAAAGGACTACATTAGTCTCTGGATTCAACTTCAAAGGCTATTTTTATGTCCATAAACAGATGCTGATCACTGCTCAGACATTAAGAAGTTGAAAGTTTAGCCCCACCGTACTTAAAATCCCTAATTTCGTTGTTAGTTCCTCCAAGTTCTCAATGATGCCCAGGCAAGAGAAGACAGCACATTAAATCTTTTTTAATCTTTAAAAGCCATAGGTTGCTTGACATAAAACAATGCTGGGCTGGTTTTGAAGCTTAAAAGACATACATTAAACATGAAAAAGGAAAAAGAAGGATTCTAGATTTCTACCTAGGAATGACATAAACAGGTTATCAGCTACACACAGATAGCCTTAATTGCACCTGATTACTCTGAATTACACTCTTATTATGACCATGAAGTCAATGCCCTCTGCTCTGTCTCTGTGCTCAGTCTATGTTTGAGCAATTCCACATTTCAGAGAATTTTTTTACAGGTTACATGGTATTTACTTATATTCTGGAACCTACAGACTCCTTAATATCAGAAGTCAGTTGAAGGAGAATGATGGAGAGTACCTTCTACATTCCTTATGCAAATAAAGTGCCTCCTGGATTGAAATTTCAACTGCAATTCAAGTATTTCTTCAACATATCTCTTGTTTCTCTCCACATCAGTCCTTTTCAACTTCCATCTTTACACAGTCCATCTGATTTCCTTCCTTCTTGCATAACATCCCCTGAAACCTTCTTTAGGTCAGGGAGTTTAACTGAGGACAGACAAGAAAGAAAACCCCAAGCGATTCTACAAAGCAGAGTTACTACTCCCCCTAAAGCCAACTTTAACATTGTTTTGACTTGACACCTGAGAATTACTTACTGAAATAAGTAAGTAAGTAAATTCCATTACTTACTGAAATAAGTGAAGTGTGATCAGAAAACACGACAAGGACATTTCTGTAACCATTCTGAGAATATATATGAATATATATGAAAGTGTAAAATAGAAAAGATTAAATTCCAGTCCTACAGTTTATGAATAATTCTTTTCTTAGCATGACTGTCGTCTCAACATTCCTGGCTGACCATTGATTTATATTCAGTTCACTCTCCCTGCCAACAGGGGAAGGCAACAGCATGGGCTGAGGGCCAGGTAGCTAGAAGCAGAACTGCAGAAGAAGACATGGACAGCAAATTCAAGAGGTTGAGCAGTGTGCCCTTGTAGCTATTGAAGTTTGCTGCATACTGGGCTGTGCTGGCAAGAGCATAGCCAGAGGATCGATGACAGTGATGTTTCAATTTGGGAGACTGCATTCAGAGTGTAGCATTCAGTTTTTGACTCCCCAGTACAAGACATTAACATACTGGAGCAATGCAGCAAACAGCTACCAAGGTGCTGGAGACCATCATGTGTGAAAAGAGGCTGACAGACAGGATTTGTCCAGCCTGGAGAAAATACTGCTAAGGGAGAACCTTACTGCTATCTACTACTACCCGATGGAAGCATGAAAAGAGGACAGACTGCTGCACGATGATAGGACAAAAGGCAACAGACACAAATTAAAGCAAGAGAAAGTCTCATCAGTATTAAGTGGGGGAAAAAGTTTGCTATGATGGTGTCAAACATGAGAACAGGCTGCCCAGAGGGGTGGTGGAATCTCTGTCTCTAGAGATAATCAAAACTTGAATAGACAAGGATACGAGATCTGATCTAACTCTGAACTTAGATCACACTTCAGAAGTTGGCTCCGCCTTGAGCTGGGGCTTGAGCTAGATGGTGACCTCCTGTGGTCCCCTGAAACCTAAGTTATTCCAAGTTTATGATTTATTCAAACAGGTGAAAAGGCATTGCTAACTTAGAAAGCAGCATTTCACAGCACAAATATCTGTCAAGGCAATGGAGGCCACACAACATCATCACCTTCAGGCACAGGGAAATGTAGAAATCATTGCCCAACAGACAGCTCTGTTGAACTGTGTACCTAGAAAATGAGCTTTATACTTACCAAACTGGCCACTGTGCTTTATAAACAGTTCAATTACACCGTAGGCAATAGTGGTTGCAGGAGGAATTTCAAGGATCACACTAGAATCTTTCATCATACTTCCACTTTCACTCACTGAAACCTAGAGGACAAATTTATTCACTGTTTATCTTGCCAGTTATTATGTAGCTTAAACACAGAATTAATAAAGGGAAAAAAAATACAGGGAAAGAATGTGTGCCACTCTCCATGATGTCTAACTAAAGCACATGTTAGATTTGACATCTGTGAAAGGAACTAAATGAGCAGCGAAAGCACAATGCCAAGAGCAGCTCTCAAACTCTTAGCTACCCTCTCCTATTACAAAGTTGAGTTCCAGGTGCAGTTTTTGCCACACTGTCACTAGAAAATGGACTTCAGTATCCCACCCTGCCCTCTTTTATCCTGGCACCCCTTTTGCCCCACTGGAGGCTGGTACCAGGAAGATGGCACTTGCACAGAGGGTTGTTGAACTGCAGCTCCCAGATCTCTGCTACTAGAGACACCCTGTATACAGAAGTGATTAATCTGCAACTTAAACTTACTACGAATGAGCATATGTTTTGATTTTGGTAATTCCTTTTCAGTTCATAGGCAATTTTTCAGATACCCTTATAATCCAGTTAATCTCTGTTTCCATATCAAAAATGAATAGCTTCTCTATAAATATTAAAACTCAGTAGACACAGCAAACATTTTTGATGAATGATTACTTGGGTTAGCAAATAAATTTGCTTCAGCACTGCTTTTTACTCTTCAGCTTTCACTGAACTGTTGTATGTTTGGTTCATGTTCTGCTCTAGGCAGGAATCTACATAGAAACTGAATCACAATTTGACGGTATTGACGGAAACCACATTCCAGGCTCATCTTTTGCCACTGCAATGGGAAAACGTTACTTTTCTGAAGTATCACAAATAAGCAGTGCACTGAGTTCAAGATATTATGGAAGCATGAAAAATACTCTGGAGTCTATTTGGAGAAAGCATAATTTCATCTCAGATAACCAGCAAATGTTCTGTTCCTGGCAGAATCTTACCTTTACTATTTTTGTGCTGCATCCTACCACACCACTGATTTTTTCTTCTGTCTGGATGTGTTCAGTTATTGTACACTTCTGAGTTGTTATTATCTTTTCTCTCAAGATGCACAGCACTTCACGTTTCCTTTCCATTACTTGTTGCAGTAAACTACTGTTTAGATTTATTGTTCTGAAAATGAAAAGATGCCATTAACAACATAAATACTGAACTGAGAACAAAACATTTGCTTAATTGCTTGAAGAAGCTTTTATTGTAAAAATAACAATGGTTGCTGTATGAGCAGCCTCCTCAAAATCAGTTATGTCCTCCTTTGTTATTCGGTAGCGGTAGATATCTGTATTCCTCAGGAAGTCCTAACACATGTACTGAATTCTTGATTCCTCACTCTGAGCAAAAATGGCAGCTGCCTGGCTACTTTTTAAGCAAAAAAAGAAAGGGAGAACTACAGTAAGTCTGGTAAGTTTAAGCTTCCTGTGTGCTATGAAAACAACCAGCCAGGCTCATAAACACTGGACTGAATCCTCTGGTATAGTGAACTCACACTGACATTAACAATGTCATGGCAGGGTATGCTGGCTAACCATTCCCTTCAGTCTCACGTTAGCACAAACAGCATCAGTAAGTCAATGGCTCCCACCCTGCAGTCTTTACTCCAAAGAATTATTTCTACCAAAAAAGGCTACTGGGGAACACAAACAAAAGACCTGTGCCCATGGTCTGTATTATGAACTCCCTGCAGCCTAGCACACTACTGGATTCATTATGCATGCACACACATAATGAAAATACTTACAATAGTGTAATACATAAGCACACAATATAATAGTATTACCCACACACCACAAAGCTCTGCTTAGAAAGAACGAAGTTGCAGTCAAGCTACTTGAAGTTGGGAGATAAAGAGCAAGCAATCTCCCAGTCCAATTAGTTTTTGTAATCAAGCCCTATTTTCCTTTACAATAGTTCTCGGTTTTCCCTCTCTTACCTGACCAGGCTGAGTCCCATTCCTCACCCCTCATTCATCTCAGCTTTGTGTCACAGCCAGCTCACCAGCCCCACCTCGTGTAATTTCTCTTCTTTTATCCTCAGATGACACCAGCTGCTCATGGCTCCCAGCCTTCATCGCCCCTCCTTCTCACAGTTTATTATTACCACTTCCCAGCCATGTGGCCAAACTCAGTCTCATTTATGTCCTTGTCACCAGTCAGTCCCATCACCCCTGTCTTTGTACATCCTTCTACCTGTCACAGGTGTGCCATCAAGTGCTCCTCAGCAGGGGAGGTGACATGGGCTCCTTCACGTCCAAGAGCTGATGTCCAGACTCACCTGGACTAGGACAGCTTGGGGTGCCCACCACGAGGAACTGCTGGTTTGGCATCTAAAGGCCCTTGCACAGGCAAAGGAGTGTCCTGACACGCTGCCACCAAATTCCAAGTCGCCAGAATTCCCCCTTGAGGGATGAACAGCACACTAAGAGACTAATTACCTCAGTGCCAACGCTCACACCTTGCCACGGATCTGTTTCAATGTTGACTTAGACCCTGAGCTGGCTGAGTGGGATCAGCACTGACCAAGTACTTCAGAGAGCTGGACGAGAAACCAGAAGAGATTTCATGGATTTTGTAACTGGAAAAGATGACTGGAAAAAGAAACCCCAAACCCACCTGCTATAAACTTCTGTGTTATTCCCCAGTGTAACATCACAATTTGCAGTTAATGACTGGGACTGTCACAGTCAAAAGAAAAATTAACTCTTGGAGGGACCTCAACTTTCTAGCTCTTGCCTCCAACTTAACATGTCAACCCTACCACACATCATAATTCCGTGTGCGTTTAGATGCTGCAGGGGATCTTCCTAAGTAAGGTTCTTCTGCTCCATTTGAGAAAGTGAACTCCCAGAAACAATGAGAAAGGATTATTTTCTAAGCAAAAATGACAAAATTCACTACCTTGGCTTCTGGGTGTTAAAAGGCTCTCTGGTAACAGTCAAAGCAACTTCTTAACTGTATCTAACTGACTAAAATGTGTCACTTACAGTATACTTCTACAAAATACCCAGTGGAGGTCCTCAGATGAGATGTCAGATTTTCTACAAACAGGTAATTTGAGCAAGACAGTTGAAAGATTGAAAGATTGCTACCCCTGGCTCAAGTTATTCAGCCTTTTCACCTCCCTATTACTGTAAATGGCATTTATTCATGGAACTAAAGGGCAATTAACCAAAAAAGTGATGAAGCCATGTCTGACTCGGCCTTGTTTAAATCACAGAATCAGAGAATAATTAGGGTTGGAAAGGACCTGAAGATCATCTAGTTCCAACCCCCCTGCCATGGGCAGGGACACCTTACGCTAAATCATATCACCCAAGGCCTCGTCCAACCTGGCCTTGAACACCGCCAGGGATGGAGCATTCACAACTTCCCTGGGCAACCTATTCCAGTGCCTCACCACCCTAACAGGAAAGAATTTCCTTCTTACATCCAGCCTAAACTTCCCCTGTTTTAAGTTTTAACCCGTTACCCCTTGTCCTACCACTACAGTCCCTAATGAAGAGTCCCTCTCCAGCATCCCTATAGGCCCCCTTCAGATACTGGAAGGCTGCTGTGAGGTCTCCACGCAGCCTTCTCTTCTCCAGGCTGAACAGCTCCAACTTTCTCAGCCTATCTTCATATGGGAGGTGCTCCAGTCCCCTGATCATCCTCGTGGCCCTCCTCTGGACTTGTTCCAACAGTTCCATGTCCTTTTTATGTTGAGGACACCAGAACTGCACACAATACTCCAGGTGAGGTCTCACAAGAGCAGAGTAGAGGGGCAGGATCACCTCCTTTGACCTGCTGGTCACGCTCCTTTTGATGCAGCCCAGGACACGGTTGGCTTTCTGGGCTGCAAGCGCACACTGCCGGCCCGTGTTCATTTTCTCATCAACCAACGCCCCCAAGTCCTTCTCTGCAGGGCTGCTCTGAATCTTTTCTTTGCCCAACCTGTAGCTGTGCCTGGCATTGCTCCGACCCAGGTGTAGGACCTTGCACTTGGCATGGTTAAACTTCATGAGGTTGGCATCAGCCCACCTTACAAGCGTGTCAAGGTCCCTCTGGATGGCATTCCAGAACCATACAGCTTGGTGTCATCGGCAAACTTGCTGAGGGCGCACTCAATCCCACTGTCCATGTCACTGACAAAGATGTTGAACAAGACCGGTCCCAACACCGATCCCTGAGGGACACCACTCGTTACTGGTCTCCAGCTGGACATTGAGCCATTGACCACAACTTTGTGTGCAGCCATCCAGCCAGTTCTTTACCCACCAAGTGGTCCATCCATCAAATTGATGTCTCTCCAATTTAGAGACAAGGATGTTGTGTGGGACAGTGTCGAACGCTTTGCACAAGTCCAGGTAGATGACATCAACTGCTCTAAATGACATCAACTGCTCTAAAATAGAGATATCTTCATATTTAATTAAAAAGTTTTAGATTTATTAGATTCTAGAGGTTTGGATTTATGCAGTCTGCATAAGTCTGAAGTCAGCCTGGGTCTTTATTAAATTAAAAATATCCTGAGGCAATTTTTGATCTTTGGAGACTTAATGCTTATATGAAAGTTCAATCAGTTGGAATGAACTGTCTGGAAACGTTAAAGTTGATTGTTTAACCAAGGGAAAGAAAATACCTCTGAAGCGATGCAACAGCCACCAGAACCTCCCCCCCCCCCAAACATTCCTGAGCTTATTAATATGATGCTTTCTCTTTTGGTGCTGAGCCATGCTTTATGCTTGGAAGGCAATGCATCTTTGGATTAAGCAAAAAGTAAGAAATGTCAAGCAATCACAAACACCGCTGCTCTTAAAAGTGTCTGACAACCCAGAGCTATTAGTTATCACCGTAACAGACCATCAAGCCTATCATACACTTCACAGTAATTACTTATGATTCTGAAGAGGTGTGCTAAGCATCTTGAAAATACAAACTAATGCAGTAAGAACTTGCAATTTTAACATTTGACCTAAGAAACCACAGGATAAGAAATGCAATGAAGAAGCACAAAAGCAATTTGTCATTTGCTTTCATATATTTTTTGCCTGCTTTAAAGGAAGACAAACTCACCAGATATTCCTGAAAGTTCCAGCAAAAGAAACAAAATAATCAAAAGTTGAAAAATGCAGATTAAATTGAGATTTGCTGGGTTTGATGGAGCATTAATATAAGAAGCGTATAGAATATGATTTCAATCTATCAAAATGAAGTACCAAAATAATTCAAGAGACTTTTTCTTACATCAGGGAACTGAGGTGTTTAGTCTGGAAAAGAGAAGGCTCAGGGGGGGACCTTATTGCTCTCTACAACTACATGAAAGGAGAGGGGAGAGAGAAGGTGGCTGGTCTCTTCTCCCACGTAACAAATGGTAGGACAACAGGAAATGGCCTCAAGCTGCGCCAGGGGAGGTTCAGACTGGATATTAGGTAAAATGTCTCCAGTGAAAGGGTAGCCAGGTATTGGAACAGGCTGCCCAGGGAGGTGGTGAAATCACTATCCCTGGAAGTGTTCAAAAACTGCCTAGATAAAAACCTCAGTGATATGATTAAGTGGTGGACTTGCCAGCCCTGAGGTAATGGTTGGACTTGACGATCCCAAAGGTCTTTTCCTACCTAGCTTATTCTAAGATTATTATGTCCTTGGTAGGACTGGCTCAAACCCCCTCATGCCCCTGACTTTGAGATTCAGATGCAGAACTAACAGCAGAGTGGCAGAGTGAAGGAGTCAGAAGACACAGACAGGTAAACAGGCCTGCTGCAGAGATTTCTGAGGCAATGCTGCATAAGCTGCCACAGCACTGGAGGCTACTCAGAGACACTAAAACAAGGGACAGAGCTACCTGCTTCTGTCCCTGATGTAGCACTCCCACAGGCACTATGTATCACAGGTAACTTTGGAGTCCTCTACCCAGCTGCACTGTGTGTCAGAGACACAGCCACTGCCTCAGCATCAAGATTCAAATTACTTCAGTGGGATATATTTAACTGTAAAGCCAACAGAAATGCTCTCCTCTTCCCACTAGGTTTAGTGAGTACCAGATTCAGAGTTTTAAAACACATACCCCTAGCACAGCTACAGATATCTTTTATTTTAGGACAGCACACTTAAACACTCTCCTCTAGTCTTCTGGCACTGAACTTTCTATCATAAAACCCCTTGGACTCCAGGATTGTGTTTGGGCACATCGTAAGTTATACTGCAGCACAGCCTGTGGAAGGTAAAACATTCTGCTCTTCTCAGCAACTCAAACTAGAGACAACATGAGGTAAACAAATACCCAGCTTACCTAAATTATCACTGAAAACAGTCATCAAGAGCAAAATGCAACAGGGTTAAAGTTTGACAATCTGAGCAGGGCTTAAAGTATTGCAGGGTAACAGCCACTGCATCTCTGAGTGCATTGTTGCAAGAGCTGAACTCATTTGCCAGCATTACACCCTGAATATCAAGAACATATCTGAATAACAAGAGGTGGCTCAGTTAAATCCCTGAGAATACATGCATGCAGGCACACAAACTGCATGGCATATTTTTTATTTCACAGGTCACCTTTCAGAGCTTTTATATCTGTTCTACAATCATCACTCTCATCATCTCTTTCACCATTTATTGTACAGAAGCCCTCACAGATCTTGCATGACCTGTACTACATCACCATACTCCTTCCCACCTTGAGGAGTTGCGCTGAAGTACTCAAAAGTTACTACATAAAAAGTTACTATATAAAATACAATGAGATACTTGCTTGCTAAGTCCCATTATCAACACACAGCATATGAGCTTGTGTAAATATAGACCATTTAAAAGATTATTTTTTTTTACTGTTTGTTCTGCTTAAATAACCTTCCTGATGTCAGTGATTTACTGTATGGGAAGCTCTGCAGGTCAAACATGAACAGAAAAGAATTTCTTTGAGTTTTGACCACAGTCTCTCCACATGTTATTGGACTGAACACTTCCACTCTCCTCTAATGCAAAGGCTTTCTTCACCTTTATTCAACTTTTTAGTTCTACCATGAGGAAAGCAATGGAAAATAGACAGGCACAAATGCAATTTGCTGCAGGCTGGAAGAAGAAATGTAGGAAGAAAGGCAGAAACACCATGGAAGGCAAGAGAAAACAGACAACATCTGGCAACAGAGCAGGTTCTCACAGTCAGAAGACAGAGCAGGAGCCTGCTCTAAACTCTACAGCAGAGACTGAGGGTCTTTCAGATGCAGAATTTCTGACTGGACTGTCCACAAAGGACTCCCAGTTTTTTGCCACCAGCAAACTTGCTGAGGGTACACTCATCAATCCCATCACCCAGATGACTAATGAAGACAGGACTGGACCCAGTATTGTCTCCTGGAGTACACCATTAGTCACTGGCCTCCACCTAGACTGTAGTACTGCTCGACATGCTCTGGGCCCAGCCATTCAGCCAGTTTTCAATCCAGCTGTTTTCTCATCCAGCCCGTACTTTATCAGCTTCTCTATGAGAATTTTATGGCAGGGAATAATGAAAGCCTTAAAAAAGAAGATGGAATATACTCTTAAATCGAGAGCAATCTCACCAAGTTAAAGGCACACAACTCTGACCTGAAATCAGTACATTACAGTACTCTGTAATTTAGCAACCACACTGTAGTATGAAAAATAATGTAAAATAAAATATGCTGAGTTTATATAGCTAGAAGTACCATTTAACTTGATTTTTAAAATTGTGTATTATTTTAACAAGTGTGTTCTGCATTTACAATGTCATTGCTTCTGCAAACCAGGCAGGATTTCATCCTGCACCCTTCAGCTGTTATTCCTTTTCAGAACAGGAGGCAATGCGGCATTGGAATCTAATTAAAAGATCAGTAGGACTCTCCTTCAGAAGGTTCACCTAAGAAGTGACAGGAGCAAGATTTGCTGCCACTGAGGACTTCCAGCTTGCTACCTTGAACACTCACATGACTTAGTTTAGAAGGCACAGCTGCATTGGTTTAGAATTTTCTGCTATTTATCTGCAACTTCCATTCAAACAGCCTAATACAAGAATAACATTTGAAATGCAACTTAATTAAGCTACATGTGTAGGAATAATCAACAGAACAGTAACTGATCAAACAAGCATAAGGAATGTTTGTCAATCGATGACAACAAAAATACCTACTTGACTCTCCTCTCACAAGTACTGATGGGCAAACATCTATCTTTGGATGCCTTGCATCCAAAAATCACTAATTTGTAGGCACCAGCACTCCAGAATGCTGAATTCCTGTATGCCACACAAAGCTCCATAAACAATACAAAAACCAGAAGTTTGGACAGAATCCACCATAAATCACAGAATATTTATGAATGAGTATCTGGGATTTCATTTGCAAGGCATTAACACAATTTCCAGTGAGCTCCGGCATTATGCTGAAGAAAAGAAATTTACATTCTGCTATCCTCATCATTTCCAGTGACCTGGCAGAAGCCAAACTGACTGGGTATCAATTATACACTTTGCATAATAAGCTTTAATAAGCTATGAGCATCTTTCTATGAACTAAGAACTAGCTCCTTGCAGCTAGGAGGCACACAGATTAACCTCATCTACCGTTACGTTCAGATCGGTGCAGGGCTACTGATTTTACACATATGCAAAAAGACACTCTATTTCTAAGTATGTAGTTACATGCAGGATTATAACCCCAAAATGTGATGAAGTAAATCTGATTTGCTATGGGAGGATTATTTGTTTGAACAGAAAGGTAACTCAGTGCAGGAAGCTAAATAAAAGCTTACTGATCTAAATCAAAGTTATTCTGATTTGTTCTTTTATAGGACTCTACCTAAATCCTGACACTATTCTTCTGGTACTAGATACATACTAATTTTACACACCTGGTATGCACATTCAGCCCAATATTTTCTGCTTTTAATAAAGCATTTAGTGCAGAGATAGCAGGGTGCCTTATTAGAATAAGTCTGTTGACTTGTGAATGCTCACAATACAAAGAACAGCAGCCACTTGTTCCTGTGAAAATTGATTATTTCTAGAACATCAGTGTATCTAAAGCAAATTTACAATGCTCCTAACAACTTCTGCACTGATAACAAAAACCTATCAACTTTATCTTCAAAGCATCAGCAAAGGCTATTAAAATGCATTACAGCACCTGCTACAGATGTAAGGTACAATGCTGTAACAAACAAACCACTCTCATCTCCCACAAGCCAAGACCTGCAATACAGAGTAGATCCCTGACTTGTCATCTGATTGCCAAGTAGGCTTTGGTCCATGACTGTCTTATTGCAGGATTAAATAAATATGATTTCAGAGTCAGAGAGAAAGTGTTGCATGTCTTGTAAATTTAAGATTATAGTTCCCCTCAGCTACTACTGTAGCTGTACTACTGTATAACAATGAGCAATAGATCACAGAATCATAGAATGGTTTGGGTTGGAAGAGACCTCGAAACTCATCCAGTTCCAGCCCCCTGCCATGGGCAGGGACACCTTCCACTAATCGGGTTGCTCGAAGTCCTGTCCAACCTGGCCTTGAACACTGCCAGGGATGGGGCAGCCACAGCTTCTCTGGGCACCCTGTGCCACAGCCTCACCACCCTCACAGCAAAGAATTTCTTCTTAACTTCTAATCTAAATCTCTCTTTCAGTTCAAAACCATTGCCAGTCAGTAGGAGCTTCACCAGACTGCCGTAACTTCTCAGATATTACGGATAATGGCTTAGCAACTACATTCACCAGGACCCACAGACACACCTCATCAGGTCTTCTGCACGTTGAACTTGTGCACCTTCAGGTTGTGTAGATGGTCTTGAACTTGATATTCTCCTACAGTGGCTGGTTCTTCATTCTAATTCTTATGTAGATCTATAAACTACATTTTGTTCAACTAGTAGAACATGTGTGGACCATGCTGGCTATTTGACCTTTGCTATTGCATGACCTTTGCTATTCCCTCAACTTCAAATAATCCAATTTTCTAGCACCGTGGCTCACACACACATACACAATTATAAAACCTGCTACAACAACATAAGTAGTACTGAATTCAGTTTCCATAGCATTTTCCCCACTAACATAGAAAAAACAATCCATTTTTTTCCTAGATTGTTACCTCAGTACAGTCCCCCAACAAAGTGAGGATTTGGCTTTTGTTCCACAAGGCAATTCATGCAAATACACAAGACGAAATTGCAGAGAGATGTTTTTAAAAAGAAAGGGAAAGTTCTGACCACGAAGCTTTCCAAATCTGGAAATGTTCATTTTTGTATGTATGATTTATCACCTAAAAATGAGAGGTTACATTAAAAATAATTCTCAAGCTATGGCAACACTGCAGAATCAATTGTTTGGTGATCACAGCTAGCCCAAGCTTTTTCAGCTCAGTAATACTTCCCAGTCATTACAGCACCTATATTAAAAACATACCTATCCTTGACGTCTTTCATAAGCTGCTGCAAGTCAATCTCCTGCTTCCTTAGGTTTCCAAATGAGGACTGGTTTTCCACATAGCCCCTTCCTCCAGCTCCCAGGCTGATCTTTCCAAATGAAGTTTCAATGCTTCCTTGAACAGAATCTTCAAACTTCCCCATATATTTTGCAAAGTCAGACTCCACGATTACTAGGAAAGCAATAAAAGTGATTTCTGCTTGTGAAGAGAAATACTGAAATAGTCCCGAATTGATTGGAAAAACAGCAACTTACAGAAAATATGACAAGTTAGTGAAGGCAAACTTTACTGAGCAGGTAAATAATGAAATTTACAGCTCTGCAACTCCTGCTTCCTCTACATTTTCCTCATCTTCACTCTGCTACTTTTTATATTTTGACATTTTAGGAAAACATAAGGTGATCGAAATGCTAACTTCAGACACTACAGAAAATCATAAAGAATGACTGAAACTTATTTCAGCTACAAAGAAAAACTGCAAAGCAGACCTGCTTGTATAGCAGGGTTAGTATCTTACCATTATCTTGATATATGTCATTACAGGGCTGTCCAAAGCTCACTGAAAACCAACAGAAGCATCCAACTGGCTTAAAACAACTCTGAATCTTAGGCACCTATAACTGACTCAGCACCAGCTAATCTTCCAAGCCAGCTACAATTAACATCTCAATTTAGGGACTTACCTATTTTCTTGTGTGGAATTGTGCCACACCTAGAAGTATGGAATTCCAGATTGTTAATCCTAAAACCTGGTTAGGACCACTGCAGCTGGATGAAGAATGAAGTACAAGGGTCAACCGCTTTTAAGAGTATGTACAAGAAGAAAGGAAGTACAGATAAAACTTCCTTGGCCTTGCCTGTACAAACATTCCCTGGGCTACTGTCACCACCAAGACGCTGTTTATCCAGTGCTTTTTGATCAGGAGCACAGTATAATTTCACACTATCATCACAGACTAGAATTCCCCAGCAGTATTCTAGTTCCTGTGCCTACAGATAGCACTGTTGTTAAACAGTGGAACTGCACACCTTTACAACCTTTGGCACATAATTTCAGTAGTCTATCTAGGCAAAACATTACCATTTTTCTTAACAGTTATTATTATTGGGTTTAGTTAAATGACTAATCAAGTGATAAAAGATTCAGTCATCTCATTTCCATGGATGGAGAATAGTTCAGAGCATTCCTCTGAAAGGAGCCCCTAGTAACACGATTGAGAATACCAACAAAAAAGATCAGGCTTTGCATTCTTTTTATCTGCAATAGTACTGATGCCCATGTATGGCTTTACCTGGTTTGATCGGTTTGTCTTCAGTAAGCACATCACTCAGGGTGACTGTCAAGAAATGATACTTAGGCTTCTGCCAGCACCAGAACTTCTTTCTCTTCGTAACTAAGCTCATAAGTTGCAGCTTGTCTGAGGCGTTCAAATGGGAGACAGGGATTAAGTCACCTCCACTGTCAGTTTCTCTCACAAAATTCTTTGTTGCTTTTGCAAACATCTTGGGGAATCAATTGAAGCCTGAAAGAATACATCTGCTTTTCAGTAACTGCAGCTGGAAGGTATAAATATGCATATTATCACTTTAATATTTTTTTCATAGTATAGATAATAATACAGGAACAGCTGATATTTTCACCCCATCTTCTCTACTTAGAACTGGGGATCATAACAGTTCAAACCACTTATCCCAAAGTAAAAAGGTCTTCATAGGAACAGATGAAAGAATTAAAATTTGAAATAAGGAACAGCGAGTAAGCAAAGAATAATGCACTACAGACACAAAACGCGAGGCTTAAACATTACAATAATAATGCATTAAATTTATGGTCATGCAGACAACAAAGGAAAAAGAAACAAATGGGTGAGAACATAAATATTCCATCATACACCTGAAAAGTTCCTTCAAGAAATACTCACATGTAATTAATTAATCAGGTGGGGAGGAAAAAAACTTACACAGGTTACCTGAAATTCCAAGAAAACACATCTGCTAATGAGCACCCTGCAGAGACCGGCTGGGATGAGGAGAGCACCAGGCCAGTGGCAGAGGATTTCTGCCTCCCCGTACAATCCTTCTTTTGTTACCTAACATAAAGTTATCTTACTGTATATGATAATTGGGGGGTATTACTCACACAAATTACCTTGATCCTTTTAACAGCAAGTAAACACATGGTGGGATAATAACAATTCTCTATAAAAATATTTGTGCTGGCATCTTTGTACCTAAGTTTTGTTTCTGAACTCTGCTCCTGAAAAGTCCCAATTAGTTTTGTTCTTTCTGAACCTTTCTACATTCGGCGTTTCCCAATTTTCTGCTTTCCATTAGCATAACTACAGCTAAATTGAACATATGGCACTTGCAACTGTTATTTGTGTCTGCTAAACTGCTACATACATTATCTCATTCTAGCTTTTAAATGCCTTGAATTAAGAAATGATTGCACCTCTTATTGTGCAAGGGTTTCTTTATCCCAAGCAATGCACTTTGCTGTATCTACAAGGAACCTTTTCAATAAGGGACACTGGCTAAACAAGCAGGAGAAATGGTAAAAACCGCTATTCACAAGTGCTAAACACACAATTCTAATAATATAATTTTTTATCTTTTTTGAAAAAATCTGATCTTTTTTTATAATTTCAACTCTGTGTTATTTGAGCTAATCATATTTCCATAATTAAATATTTTGTTTTAAAGTTGGCAGCATTTCTTCGAATCCCCCACCTGACACTGACTAGAAAGTTTAACTAAGATCACAAGATGTCTCAGCTGGGTATCCACACATTTGCAGTTAATTACCTGCTTCACAGAAATGTTAGATTTGTCATTTACAAACACAAGCCAGAATAATTAGAACAGAGTTTGAGCAAAACCTGGTATTTCAGGATTATTGAGAGAAAATGGAACACTGAATAAAGACTGTTAGTGGTTGGTCCACAGGCTCCATGTTGCAGTATCAGTGGGAGGACAGAGAAAAAAAAAAGCCTTTTTGCAGATGGAAATTTACTTTCCATTAGCTTTTCCCAAATCCCATTTCAGGTAGCACTGCACACAGTATTTACCAGTTCATGTTGAGGTAACTACCTCCTCATGAAACCCCTGTGGCCTACACTTAGTTTTCTATATAAGCAAGTAAAGGATATTTCTCAACAACACCTGCATGGAAAGGATTTCAACAATGTCAAAGCCAAATAACATTTCACTGAAGAGTCTTCTGGGACTTCCACTGTAATTGTGGCTGCCACAAACATGCAGCACAGGCCCAGCTATATATACTGAGAATATTCCCACTGGCTTTCTTGTGGAAAAGAAATTCCCAGCAGTCTTCTCTCTGACCTTTTCCTAAACTCTGAACTGAGATTGATTTTTTTCATTCTTAAATTAATCCTCCTGAATTTCCCTGGCACTAACCTCAGTGAGAACACTTTAACAGAATAAGCAATGCAGCTCCACTGCAGCAGAAAAAAAAACCCACACAAACAAATCAATCCCCCAGTAGACCCAGAAACTAGTTTTCTTTTTTCCTGGGACTTCTTTTGCATGAAATGGTATTTCACCACCAGCCAGATGACCAATGTGTAATGGAAGGGACCATTAAGAAAATTCTCATGGCCTGCATTAGCTGCTCTTCCCTAGCAGAACCTTCTTCTAACATTTCTGTTCTTTACATGATGGTTCATTCATTCTGATCCCACTCCTACATACCTGATTCACATAGGCATAGCCTCTGAAAAGAAAAAAGCCCACCAATTTCTGAGTTTATGATAAGACAGATTGCAAAAACCAGTTCCTGTGAGGTACACACTCACTAAATCTCATGAGAAGAACCATTAGCACCATTCCACAAACCTCTGTTTCATGATGTTTTTTTGTCTTCATTCCCAGTCACTGTGCTTCTGATTAGCAAAAAGGAGACCATGGAAACACCACAGTGCTTATGAGGACTGCTGAGACTCACCAGGCAGGAGAGATGGGACTGTCTTCTGCCTCACAATGATAGTGTTGGTGTCTCCCACACTTTGCTGTACTGGGAATGTCTTTGCAGGAAGCATAATTGCTGGTGCAGCCATACCTGCAAAGCAAGAATATTCTATCCAAATTCCTGTTTATGTCTCCTTGGATACAGTGCCTTTAACACAAACTCTAAAATGCACCCAAACACCTTGTTTCACTAGTTCACAACACAAGGTCACAGGGCAACTGAATGTGCATTAGCTGACATCAGGGAGTTAATACAGCTACCAGGATGTAAGGAGTCCCGACTGAACGGACATGGAGCAGTTATGGACACAGCATTAAGAAAACTCTGCCTTTGGTGCTTCTTCCTCTGGAAATTTTGCTAGAGCTGTGCTTGGCCTGGTAAAATTAAAAGGAAGGTATCAAAGCTGGTAGAAAGAGCCTGTCAGAGTGATTTCACTCTTGCAGATTGACAGCTAGGCATGAAAGTAGAAGAGGAAGGAGGAGCACCTTCCTTGCTACCAAGGAATTTAAAATTAGCCTGGACCTGGGCTACAGGGAGGGTAGTCAATGAAAGGGATGAGATCAAGTGAAGATATTTACAGCAGTTTCATTGTCTACTTATAAACAAATCATATCCCTTTTCTTTCCTTTATCAGAGCTCCCTAACTCAATATAGTGAGACATGAGAGCCAAAGAAACAATTTATGAATAATCAGTGTCTACCTTTGCCAGCACAAAAGCAAGTTCTCAACAGTTGCCTGACATTTCTTACATTCTGTATATACATACACTGACCTTTAAAAAAATACAACAAAGCTCTCCCCTCCCCCCCCAACGTAACACTACCCAGCACACCAGGTACTGTACATGGGGAATTTGGGAAGAAGGTGACAACTAGGCTACCAAATGCCAAAACATACCTTGCCAATCCTAGGAGTAAGGATACACAGCCCCTGAAAGCCAAAGGTGACCACGCAGGAGCTACAGTGCCAGAAGAGCTGCTGGGGGTTAACTCTGCTGCGCAGCAACAGTGACAGCCTTTGAATCCCACTGAACTCAAGAGTTTACACCAAAAGGCAACTAAAGCATGGAAGTGATGACAAGCAGGACATGTATCTTATTACAAAACCTCATGGTTATTTTCACCTCCTCTTTCTACAGATTTAAAATTAAAAAGCAGCCACAAAACCCAATACACAAAGTGTAGCAGGGACGTTCACACAAGAAATTTCAGTCCTGGAGTGCGTGTGGTGCCTTACGAACACATCCAGTGCACTTTAGCGCTGGAGGTAGCCCTCTTTTGTGTCTTGATGGCTTCACAGCATGTGCCTCCAGACGCTCGACGCTGCACAGACCCACAGCAGCTCATGGCACTCAAGGGCGACGCAGCAGCCTTACCCGGGTGCCTACTGCGAGGTGGAGGTGCGAGGCCTGTGGCAGGAGCTGCACACCTTGGGCTCGGCCCAAAGCTGCCCCTGTCCCTTGTGAGCAAAGCACTGACCACCTCGTCCAGGCCTATGCTGAGGCAGCTCAGGTCCTATGGTGAGGACCCCTCACCACTCCCTTAATGCTTAAACCCCACACAAAACCCCCACGCGAGAACTGCGGCCGTTCCGCCTCGTTCTGCCAGAGGGCACGCAGGAGCTGGCGGGGAAGAAGAGCAGAGCTTCGGCACGCAGGGAGGCGGCCGCGGCGGCTCCTCCCGAGTACCCAACTGCTCGGTTGCAGCCGGGGCACACAGCAGACCGAAGCCCCGCTGGCCTACACCGCACCGCCGGGCCCGGTCCGTACTCACAGCTCTCCCGGCGATCCCCGCCGCCGGGCCCCGAGGATGCGGCGAGCTCCTCCCGCGGGGCGTGCCCAGTCCGACCGAGGCTAACCGCGCCGCGCCCCGAGGCGACGCGAGGTGCGGGGGGCGAAGCTCCGGGTGTAGCGGCACACCGGAGGAGGCTCCGGCCGGCGCTGTGCTGCGGCGCGGTGAGGCGGGAGGCGTGAGGCGTGCGAGCCCCGCCTGTGCTCAGGCCGCGCGGGAGGGCGCGGTGGCGGCGCCCGGGACACTGGCCGAGGCGTGGCCGCCATGTTGCGGCGCCGGGCCGCCGCCCCAGCACATGGTGCGGGGCAGGAGCGCTGCCGCTGTCCGGCCCCGTGGCTGTTTCTACATCCCTGCACCGGGTGTGCCTTACCATCTCGGCGGGCTGAATGTGCTGCCGTGAGGTGGCTGCACGCAGGGCATCCCGCTGGAGGTCTCCGTCTGGGGCCGCCCGGTGTGGCGGTGTGGTCTGCCAGGGGCTGAGGTGGAGGGCTCGGTTATGCCCATCAGCTCTCCAAGGCGATGGAAAGCTGGGTTTGCGTGGCTGCTTCCCGTCAAATAACACAGGCAATTGCTTCTCTTTAGTTACAATTGACTGACGTGTTCTGTGACACAATTCTAAAGGAAATTTTTGTGACGTCCTCTCAAACCTAGCTCACTTCTCCCATGGGCATAGGTGCAGAGGGTCAGTGGCCTGTGTGCAGAATCTGCTGGAAGCAACAGCACTGGCTGCAGGTGTGCAGCTTCAGGGTTGGTACTCTTGGCTTTGCGAAGTTGGCCTGGTTCAAACAGGAGCTTCCCAGTGGCAGTGTGAGCTTGCAACCCAGAAAGCCCACTGCATTCTGAGCTGCACCATCAGCAGTGTGACCAGCAGGTCAAAGGAGGTGGTTATCCCCTTCTGCTTAGCTTTCATGAGACCCCCCACCGGCAGTGCTGCATGAGGCTCTGGGGACCCCAACACAAGAGGAACATGGACCTACTTGAGTGAGTGCAGAGAAGGGCTATGAAGGTACTCGGAGGACGGGAGCACCTCTACTATGGAGACAGGCTGAGAGAGCTGGGCTTGTTCAGCCTGGAGCAGCTTCCAGTGCCTCCAGGGGGCCTAAAGAAAATTGAAGAGGGACTTTTCACACAGGCATTTAGAGGTAGGCCAAGGGATAATGGGTTTAAACTGACAGAGGGGGGACTGAGATGAGCTCTTAGGCAGAAGTTCTTCCCTGTGAGGGTGCTGAGGCACTGGCACAGAGTGCCCAGAGAAGCTGTGGCTGCCCCATCCCTGGCAGTGTTCAAGGCTGTGAATGGGGCTTGGAGCAACCTGCTCTAGTGGAAGGTGTCCCTGCCATGGCAGAGGGTTGGAACTGGATGAGCTTTAAGCTCCCTTTCAACCCAAATCATTCTATGATTTTGTGACTCAAAGCCAAAATCCCCAGTCCAGAGTCCCTGAACAGGAGCACTGCAGAAAATGAGCAATATGATCAGTTAAGCATGGGGTCAGGTTCATGAGCCACAGCATGAAGTACTGACCTGCCTCACTGTATCACAGCCCTCTGAAAGCAATGCAACATGAGAATGAAACAACTTGTTTGTTTGTGATGGGAAAGGACTGAGCCAGTGAAAAACAGATGAGTCTGCAGAAACCCAAGGAGTAGTTTATCAAGATAATAGACCTCAAAGAAATCTTGTTCAAGCAAACTGTGCTGGAGGCCAGGTACTTCCCTTATGGTTTGAAGAGAGCATTTAAAGCTGCAGAGTACAGTCATGAGTGTCGCATCACCACCTCTTAATAGAGTAACACCTGAGCTTTGGAGCAAATGGATGTTGAAATTTGCATGTCCTTAAATGAACAGTCCTGGGTGAGAGGCAGCAGGTAATACAGCAAAAAAGCACCCATTTCTTCCCTTCTGTTTAACTATATTCATTATCCAAAACTTCCAATTAATCTCAGCAGATTTTAATCCATCACCCCTTTCTGACTCCCACAGATGACATTCTTAGTGAACTAATGATAAGTAGATTTCCCTTCTGGGGTTGCACCTGCTTGCAGATAGCCTAAATGGAACTAAGTAAGATCTGCATTTGTGATAATTTACTTTCATTGACTAATATATATATTTATATATATAAAATTCCACTCTTGGAGCCTCATCCTGAGGAAAAGCACCCACACATCCTCAAGAGAACTCTTTTTAGAAGCAGCGCCAAGCTTCAGAATCTCTAGCTCCAGCAATAATCTCCCACAGTGGCCAGTAATAGCACATATTTCATCAGCTGTCATGTGTTTTTCCAGGGAGTGGCAACGTGTGATTCATTTCAAATGCGAGTGTCTGCTAAAGCATATTTTGAGAAGTCGAGGCAGGAAGTTGCACTGAACCACATTGCCATGGAAATATTCACTGGGGAAGGAGGACACAAATAAAACCAGTGAAACTTGCTAGTCATTTTAAGGATGTTACCATCTGTTGCATGCACACCAAATAAAGGGTGCCCACACCAGGAATATTTCCATCTTTTCAAGAAAAAGCTTTGGGCAGGAATATATCCACTTGAGAGATACAAGCCAATACAGGAGAGTTTTCAGATGCTTCTCTAATTAGAAGAGACAGGAACACAGGTGTCTGGGTGTTAGAAAACAATTTTGGGGCTATGCAGCAATTAACTTGGAGGCTTTGAAGACTATTATCAATAGTGACTGCAAATAGGAGACATTTGGGATTGAACACCCACCTTGAGCCTTCAGTCTTTGTGGAAATGCCCTTCAGGTGTATTGCAGTCACAACTCATGCCTTCATGGGATGACAGCAGGGAGAACATCGTATTGGAGAAGTACACATTTGAGTGTTGGGATCTGTCTGCCACACACTCCATCTCCTGAGCATGAAGTGTGTCGCTTCTGCATCAGAAGATTCTCTGCATTACTGTTGCATGAGAAGACCATCTTGCAGAAGAACGAGCAGAAGGAGAAAAACAGAAACTTTTTACTTCTTGGACAACTTGCTTTTGGTATAGGACAAGATTTGGCTACTTCATTTAAGTAAATAAGTGAGACAATTGACATGACAACTTCACAGCCACAACTTAAGAAATCAGTAATGCACAGAAGTGGGTAGTAACACAGAAGATGGTAGTCTGAATGGAAAAGAAACAACCCCAAAACAGCACGATAGTTATGTGTGAAGTTCCCCAGGTGTAATACTAAGGTAAGAAAACATTGAGCGAGCCACCACAAGATGTCAGCATTGCAGAATGGTTATTTCTGCCAGGTACAGAAAAGGGGTTTGCATCCTATCAGCGTTACTTCTATCAGCAGTACTTTTTTGTTTTGTATCGTGGCATAATATGGCCTTATCTTTTTAGCCGTTGGCACAGGGCTGTAAGTCCAAAATTGGCTGCAAAGGAGGGGTTCTTAATGGCAATATTTTTTTGTCTCATCCTCTATCCTAAAAAGCTTCTCTAAGTGCATTCACAGGGCTAGTATTAACAGCAGTACTAATGGTACATAATGCCTTGTAGCTGTCACTGAGTTGTTTGGGGCTGCATTCAGCCTGGCTGGAAAGTGCTCACTGAAATTCTGCCTGCATATTGGTGTGTCAGGAGGTTGTCCAGTGCTCCCTGCTGCTGCATGCTAGGCTTTTTTAAATCCTCACACTGGCTGGAGAAGGGTCTGCTGGCTTCAGTTCTGTGGAGGAAATGGGAAGAAAGTGTGAAATTGTTTTGGGCTTCTATTTATAAAAAAAAGAATACTTGGGTAGCGAATCTTTTTAAAGGTGTCCAGCAGCATAAGCCAAATCACCAGCCAAAGAATGAACTTCTTTTCCCCCCCGCCCCATTTCTTTCTGCAAGAACAAAAGATCTGAGCAGCAGTTTTTGTTTGTTTCAGATCAACTCTCCAGCCTCATTTGTGTTTCACATTAAAATTCATCAGCTGTTTTGGTGGGATGATCTGTAGTTTTTGCCTGTAGCCTTCAGTCCTCCAAAACATTTCCTGTTGCACACAATAGCTTTCTGACTCTCCTGCTGCTGTGGCTGTCATCAGCCCTGCCACGCTTCCAGCAGCTAGGGACAGGCTTAGAAAAGAGTGGCTGTGTCCTGCTCAGGGGAGACCAGAGAGAGGGTTCAGGAAGCAAGGGGGGACCCTGTGAGTTCATAGCAGCCAGAGCACTGTTCTGTTGCATTTCTATATCTGTTTACGTGGGCCAAGCCATTCGGTCCTTGGCAGCAGTGATAAGAAGGGGACATCTTTAACCACTCAAAGATTTTGCTAGTGAGATGAGTTTGGTCACTATTTAGAGGCTGTCTGATAGTGTCAGGTTCATCTCTGCTACCTCTAGGGACCAGTATGAGGAAAAAATGGTTTACGTCTGGATCTTTTAATCCCTTTGAAGGACAGTTGGAGCATCCCACACTGAGATGCAGAAGGAGGCAGATGTGTTCAGTATAACTCAGCATAGCCTTTTTGCTGTAACTCAGCCAGATCTTGGTGCTTTAAGTACTGATGGGGAGAAATAGTGTCCTAACTGCCTTCCTGTAGCATGTATGTTGTGGCACAGGGCTCCCTTCTGTCACTGTGAAAGCTCTCACCGCTAATGGATGTGGTTTAGGGTAGGGTGACTATAACTTTCTAAACATTTACGAAAACCTTGTGATTATTTGATGATTTCACCATGATTTTAAGAAAATAGTCAGAAACGGTAGGCTGGGATCATGTTTCATCGATTGTG